TATTCCATGCTTCTTAAGAAAAAAAGGTCATAGTCTACTTTTAAGGAGGGGACATATTCGTAACGAACTGATGTTCCGAATTTTTTTTTATCAAATGAAAAGTTAATCCTTGTTTAAATCCATATTCTTTTTTCTATAATACAGAAAAAAAGCTCCAAGCTACTGATAACCAAGAAAATATTCGTAACGAAATAATAATCTCAATTTCGTTTTAATAAAAGGAACAGTTTATTTTCAACGAATTTCATATTATTTATACTGATAGAGAAAAAAAATCAGAATTTACTTATAACGAAGAAAAATATTCGTAAACTACAAATCACAAATTTTTTAAGAAATGAACAGTTAATCTTCATTGAAATCCATATTATTTATTCTATTAAAGAAAAAACATACAATCCAATCATAACGAACAACAAAATTTGTACTGAATCATAAATTTAAACTTTTTTTGTTAAACCAAGGAATAGTTAGTCTTCGTTGGATCTCGTATTTGTTATTGTATCAGAGAAAAAAGCTCATCAATCTACTTTTAACCAAGAAAAATATTTGTAATGAACTCAAAATCTGAATTTCTTTTAACAAATGAGAAGTCATTCGTTCTTGAATTTAATATTCTTTTTTCTATAATAGAGAAAAAAAGTCAAATTCTACCTGTAATGAGGAATAAAAATTCGTAGTTATCCAAAACTCTGAAGTGTTTTTAAGACACGAATTTTCGTTGAATTTCTTATTCGATTTTCTTTACGAGGAAAAAGCTCACAATCTACTTTTAACAAATAAGGCTATTCTTAATGCTCTAAAACTCTGAAATTTCTTAACAAATGTATAGTTCATGTACATCGAATTTCATATTATTTTTTCTATTAGAGCAAAAAGTCACTGTCTACATATGATAAAAAAAAATATTCTTAATGAACTAAAACGTCATAATTTTTTTACCAACTGAATACTTAATCTTCGTAGAATGCCGTGTTCAATTTTTTTCAGAAGTAAAATTTTCACAGTCTACTTCTAACAGAGAAAAATATTTTCAACGAATGATAAATCTGATTTTTTTTTTAACAAATAAATAGTTAATCTACGTTGAACTTCATACATTCTTTTTCTATGAGATGAAAATAAAACGCACAAACTACGTAATTAGTCATAAGCAATGTAAAAGTTCATACGCAACTAAAAATCTGAATCTTTTTAAGCGAATGAATAGTGAGTCCTCGTAGAATTCCATATTTTATTTTTTTTAAGAGAAAAATCTCGCAATATACTTTTACGGAAGAAAAGTATCCTTGATGAACGAAAAATTTTATTTTTTTTTACAAACGAACAGTTAATCTTCATTCAACTTCGTATGATTTTGTCTATAAGAGAAAAAACAGAAAACCTACTTATGACGAAGAAAAATATTCGTCATAAACTAAAAATCTGAGCCGTTTTTCTTCACAAATGATAAGTTAATCTTCGTTGAATCTCACAGTGTTTTTTATTAGAGAAAAAACGCACAATCTGGTCATAAGATAAATAAAAATTCGTAATGAACTAAAACTTCGGAATTTTTTTTGTCATAAATGAAAATTGAATCCTTGTTGAAGTCAATATTCTGTTTCCTTTAATACAGAAAAAAATCCGAAAATTCACATATAACGAAGAAAGTTCGTATTGAATTAAAATACTGATTTTTTTTTCACAAATGGATACTTAATCTTCGTTGACAATACTCTTATTTCTATAATAGAAATAAAATATTCAAAATCTACTCATAATGAAGAACAAAATTCTAACTGAACTAAAAATCTCAAGTTTGTTTTTAACGAATGCATATCTTATCTGAATTGAATTTCATATTGTTTTTGTCTATTAAAATAATAGAAACTCACAATCTAGTGATAAAGAAGGGAAAAAATTTGTATGGAAGTAAAAATTTGAATTTTTATTTTTTAAGAAATGAATAATAATTTTTCTTTGAGTTTCGCATTCTTTTCTTTTCAAGAGAAACAGACGCACGATCTACTTTCAACGAAGAAAAAACTTCCTATTAAAGTAAAAATCTAAATTGTTTTGAGCATATAAAGAGTGAAGCTTTATTGAATTGCATATTCTTTGATTTGTATAAGAACGAAACTCACAATCAACTTATAACGAAGAAGAGAATTCGTAATGAAGGAAAACTGTGAAGTTTGATGATGAATTAAAATGTATGAAAAGATCTCTCGAATTGAAATATGTGGAAAAACGTACTTGAATGAATCTATCTGAATCTGTAAGCTGTTAATGAAGAAAATCTTTCTGTCACAAGAACTTTTGTCTCCCAATAGACTTTGTTTGAATTGTTGCTTTCGTGGCTATTTTATTTCACGATTTATCACACATAAAAAAGTAATAAGTAGGTAAGAACAACCATTGATTATCATAAAATAAGTGGATAACACTCATTTCTCATTCATAAAAAAATTATATGTAACGAATACGATCAAACAGTAAGGTATGTAAATAGACGGTCATCAACAAATTTTCTATCATCAAAAAATCATTTTTTTTAAATTAGAAAAGCGATATATACATTAAATTTGACTAGAAATGCACTTTAAGAACATTTTTAACCATTTGACTTGATCAACAGAAAACTCAGAAATTGGATACAGCACCTCAAAAATATATTCACTATTTCCCCTTCTGGCTTTCAACTAGTATATTTTGCTGTTTCTTTAAGTAATCAGTATACAATGAGACAGAAAAAACTTCTTTGCGTCATAATGTACATAGATCATAAGTGGTGAATACAGATAAGACGAGAAACATGTATAAGAAGCAATGATATACTTTTTTTCATGAACTTGTAATACGAAGAAATCTAGTTTTATCTTTCTGTAACTCTAGGTAAAAGTTCATGTTCATAATTTCATCTAACTACTAAAGAACACATTGGCACCATTGTACCAGTCGAAATCTCACAATCTACAGCATGGAGTTAATCCTTAGTTCCTTATGTTCAAGATCGTAGTTCAAAAAAGGTAAAATTCGTTTTCTGTTTTCGTCTTTTTTTTTACTGTATGTCTATTCTAAACAAATACAGCACGTATATGTACAATATGGCATAGATTCAAAGAAGTTATTGGAGGTCAATATCTAGTAGCAACAACATATTTTCTATCAGTATTTTTCAGAAGCCTTTTTATCTTTACAAAGACAAAGATCAAGAATGCATATCACAAATGCGCTATTGCACATGAGATCGATGTCTATAATAATCGATTATCTGCATAAATAAATATGTTCTTCGATGCAATCCAGACGAAACATTAATCGTCGAAAGAAAGCCATATTTTCTCCTGATGTATTTTTTTCTTCGTCTAATTTTCATTCGTCACTTACGATCTATAGACAACATGATGCAAGGAAGTGTGTTCTTTCTCACTGTATACTTCTTATTTATAAAAGAGCAAAGGATAGTGGTTTAAAGTTAGAAATACATACAGGGGAAATATTATTGAAGGTCTTAACAATGTTTCGGTCGAGTTCGAAGATGAGCAGGATCCGTCAAGAAATGACTGAGTTATCGAAAAAATTGTCATTATTGAGAAGATCATCCCTGAGGGGGAGTACAGGGTTTTTTCAAAAACAAAATTTTTCTCCGAATTATTCACAACATATATAAATCGACTCAGTTTTTAACGGTGATTCCGAATCTGATATTAGTTTTGAACCAAATTGTAGCTTTCTAACAAAAATCCCTCGAAAAAGGCTCAAAATACATAAAAACTACATGAAGAAAGCAAATAGTCTAGATATGTCTCAGATGATAAAAAACAAAGTGAACTTTTTGAAGTACACGTAACACTCGGATTTAAATCCGATGTTTTCGCATTTATTTATAATTAAAACTAGTTACAAGTTCATCAAGAAAATAATAAACTAACCTATTTTTTCTATAATTTGCAAATGAACTCATATCAATAAAATTTTTTGGTTACATTGATATCGTTTTATAAATCGAGATTATTTATTATTATAAAATTTCAATGTTTATTGAAGTGAATTTATTTCAAACAATTTTATCGATTCTGAATTTTCGTCTTCGAAATATATTTTCATTATAAAAATATTAACGAAAGAAGATTTGTCTTCTGATTTATCATTAAAAGATAACTAAACAATAGTCGTTGAATTTTGAATGAACTTGAAATATAACAAAAACGTTCTAATGAGGAGATCATTTTTAAAAATGATAACTATATCAATTAAACGTCAATAATAATGGAACAAAATTTTAAAAAAAAGTTCTTTTTTCCTCTTATTCTAACAAAATTCTAAGACCAAGAGATTTTCTTCCGATTGTTCAGTTGCTTTTCCTTTTAATTTCGATAAATAGACTGCATCGAATAATAAACATTTCACTAACGAATTTCACCAAACAAGCGTTACAGATTCTTTTAAATTTCAAAACGATAAACTTGTACATACGATGCAGCACAAATATCAAAATTGAATGGATGTTCATCAATTGGATTTTTTTAAAAACCGCACTTGATATTTTTCCTGTCTAAATAAAGTATTAGAGAAAATTATTTTTTATTTTTGTTTACTCTTAACACTTTTCGAAGTAAAAGTTGAGAAAAAATTTGGTTTGAAAATGAAATATTAATAGTAAAACTGAAACAAAAAACCTGTTTAGTAACATCAGATACCGATTCCAATTTCAATAAAGCTTTGGAAAAGTTTGTTGCAGTTTTATAATCTTTTAATTTAAATGTTTGATAAAATGGATATTTTAATATGATGAATTTATATATATTGTTTGTAACGAATTCTATTAATTTTGATGAATGTATGTCAAGTCTTGATAACTAAAATAAAAATTTAGAAATATTTATTAAATAAACAAATAATTTCCATATTTGAATAAAAAAAAATGCAAGGTTTAAATGATAATTCAATTTCTATTTCATCATAAGTTCAAACTGCACCAACTGTTGCTGTTGTGTTTGATTTTAAAACTTCTTTTATGCTTGTTGACTTATAGCACATAGTGGTAAAATTAATTTAGCATTCAGATTTATTTCAACTAAAATAAATAAATAAATATTTTATTCTGAATTATTAAATTTAACTCGATATTAATATTAATATCAATGTAATTTTATTCTATTCTTTCATATCTAGCATCACAATTAAATAAAAAAAACAAGCAATAATATCATTGTTGAAATTTTAGTCAACATGTTTATTCGTTATTTGAAATAGAAAAATATTAGATAACTAAAATAAAATCTTTTAAATTGTTTCCATCTTTTTAAAACTTTCCCTCAGAAGAAGTATTAACATGAGAATATGGATGTGGGTGTGGGTGTGGGTGTGGATGGGTGTGGGTGTGGGTGTGGGTATGGGTGTGGGTGTGGGTGTGGGTGTGGGTGGGGGTGGGGGTGGGGGTGGCTGGGGGGGGGGGCGGGGGGCGGTAGCGACAAAGGCCAGGCGTACACNAACATGATGTAGTTCATGTTTACCACCTTGTACTTCTAGTAGTACTTTAGCTTGAGTTGTTGCTAATGATTCTCCTGGTGGATCAATATGATGTAATTCATGTTTTCCTCCTTGTACTTCAAGTAAGACTTTGGCTTGAGTTGTTGATAATGATTCTGCTGGTAGATCAACATGATGTAGTTCATGTTTACCACCTTGTACTTCTAGTAGTACTTTAGCTTGAGTTGTTGCTAATGATTCTCCTGGTGGATCAACATGATGTAATTCATGCTTACCACCTTGTACTTCAAGTAATACTTTAGCTTGAGTTGTTGCTAATGATTCTCCAGGAGGATCAACATGCTTTAATTCATGATCGTGTTTTGCTACTTCGGCTAAAACAGCTTTTTGAGCTGATTCAATTGTATTATTTGATGCCATGGCTAAAAATTAATGATTATCTAAAATAGATATTATGCTTTTCTTATATTATTGTTTTATTTAACACTAAATTGGAATCAAGTATCGTATTTTATTAAAAATTTAAAATTAATAACATATGATCTTAATTTCTGTTTTGATGCAAATATATAGATATGCTTCTTGCAGAATGTAATGATAAGATGTAGATGGAAAAATTCTATAGATATTGTTTAAAGTAAATTTTTTTTTTACTTCAAAGAAAATAACTGCATGTCAATATTTTACGTAAAGCATGTAGATAAATAACGAAAGCAAAGTGAAAAAATATTTTCTGCAGGGTGAATAGATAGTTGTGTTTAAAAATTAAATGAAAGAGAATTATAAGCTGAGAAAAAAGTACATATTGACTTAACAAGACTGAATGCATGTGCTTTTTATTTGTCGTTTTTTTCCCTAGAATATGAATGATAAAACTATCATGTGCTGACCGTGAAATAATATTTTTATTATCAATCATTTTCTTGAAATCTTATACATCATTTGAATTACATAATAACAAATAATTTTATTAGGAAATACCTTGAAGAAATGAACAAGAATATATCTAAAATATATCAATTCACATTGATATCAATATGAAAGAAATCGACAACTAATATAAAAATTACACAGATGTTATTTTCAGGTACTTAATGCCAAAATGTTCTCTACCATAATGCAAAAAACTGTTGGAAATATTGTTCGTGAGGTCCAATAGTTATCAAGTCAAGTAATCTTGACTATTGTCGGTGGTTCTGTATTTCCATATATGGTTTTTTTTATTATTTTCAGTGTGCAGCATATAGCATTGCAAGATAGATGAAAATAAAAAAAGAAAAGATGAAACTCAGTTCTTATCTTAAACATACAGTTCTCTTTTCTTCGTAATTTGACCGATGTTGATGCATGCATAGTGTTGTTTTATAATATGGTCTTGATAAAAATTATTTACCTTTATTTCTATCGCGCATATACCAGTCGTATAGAGCAAACAAACATACTATGAAAATGTTTGTCTATAACATATTGATAATAAATGTTTTTCTTTGTCATAATTTTTATTTCGTTCACACTCATTTTTTGTTTTATTTCACAAAAAAATTGAATCAATCAAATCAAAATGTTTATATTATTCGACATGATTAGTAAATATGTATGGACAACAAAAATAATGTTTAGAAGTACTGATGCTATAGATTCATTTACGATAATTAACTAGTACAGTATACGACTTATTAATACAATGTAGGATTAGTAAAAGACATGAGGTACAACGAAAAAGAAAAAAACATATCATACACGAGATTTTAATAAAAACATAATAGATTTGCTGAGAGTGATCAACAGAAATTAATGTCACTACAAGATTCTTTTTAAATTTCTATCAATGCACTTTTTTAATAGATACAAAGCATACAACACGTTTAATATCGTAAGATATGTCTCAACAGAATAGTCTATAAAGTTCTACAATAGGGATTTACATTCTATTTAATTGACACTTTTTCCCAAAAGACGCTTTCTTTTTCTTTACAAAACCATGATCATTAAATATTCGTTGAAATATATTCTTTCTCAAAATATAATTCATCATTTATTCTTTAGATAAGAAGTGTATTAACTTAAGACCTTATCATTTGTATGCTATTTCTAAGAAACATAAATTTGCAGGATATCATTGTATATTCGAATAAATTGTGCTTGAAAAAAGAAAATACTTACTATGTTAAACAAGCTTTGTTTATTCTAATTTATCTTATCAACTAAAGAAATTACTGTTGAACCAGAGAAATTTGTCACGAAAGACATGAAATTATGTAAAATGCTTTTTTTCTTACTGTATTTGAGCGAATGAATGTTATGTTTATTGTTCAGACTAATGAATAATGATCTATAGTCTATGTTTACAAATCTAAGCAGCTCAAAGGCACATCTTCATAATGATTGGTGTAATTTACACATGCAACAATGAATGAGAGAGTGAGGGCGCTATGTGATTAAAGTGAAGATGCTTCACTTTAACTTTCAAAATATCAAAGTCATGTTTTTATTTTCGATTGATTTCGAGAAACAGCGCCATCTCAAATGCACTTTTTGATTGGTAATGATTTCAAATGTGAATTTCAGTAAGTGGAAAAATAGAGTGAAACATGTCTAATTTATTAATATACAAAATAAAATGTTGATTATTATTTCTTATTAAGATCTTAGAAAATTTCTTCACATATACATTAAAATGATATTATTTTTAATGAATAATGATAAAAAAAAATTTAATTTTATTAACATCTCTACAATTTAATTATCAATTTGATTGAAATGATTTGTATGAAAGTAAATATAGAGAATCTTATTTCTTAAATAAAATAATATGACATATTTCTTTTTTGTTTATAAATTCAATAACAAGTGATTGAATTATTAGTGGAAAGAAAACATAGTTTTATATCAATGAACTTTGTAACAATTCGATTTTCGAAAATCGTTGAAAAATATTTTGGTTTAATGTAAATTAAAATTTATGTTTGAAGTCAGAAATGAAAAGTAATATTATAAGAACAGAATTAATTGTAGGCTTTTTTCCGGATCTATGTATTATAGAAATTTAAATTTGATTTATTATCGAAATTCAATGAAATAATCAAAAACTTGAAGGAGAAAACTGTTCTATGTATGTGTTTTGATTACAACAAAATTGGGATGCGATAAGTATGAAACAGTGATAGTGCACTGTTCCCTGGTACACCGTACTATCGGTGGTACCGAACTTACGTACAGTTTTGCACTGGTCTAAACACGTAAATATAGACCAATAGTGAATGCATGATAAAACAATGATGATCTTGCATTGATTTCAATTTTTTTCGGTCAATAAGACTATTTTAAGAAAATAATTGGAATTTCATAAAGATAAACTAAAGGTCTTCGGGACCCAAAAATCCGAATTTATAGAAACTTTGTCGAAATTCTTGAATTTGATTTTCTCATTCGAAAAAGGTTTAGTTCTCACGGTTTAGTCATGTTTTATAATATTTAGCTATTTTCATGAATTTGATCTTTCACCATTCCTCTATACGTGCATCGCAAAACTGTTGCATTCATAGGATGAGTTGAAATTTAGTTTTAATGTTAAAATTAATATTATTTGAGATATACTAAAAGTAACAGTGAATATATTTTAATTTCTTATAAAAATCTTAAAGAAACTTTCTTTCTGTATGATCTCACTGTAAAAACAATGCTCTACATTTCTCCAATATTTGATCACTCTTCAACTAATATCATAATAATAAAACTTCGACAAGACCATTTGTTACAATATATGACGGTAATATTAAATCACATTTTTACCTTCTACGTGTATTATCGTCTTGACATTTTCTTTGTTCTTTTTTTTTTTTTTTTTTTTTTTCGTTTCTTCTAATATCTTGCCATTCATATAAATCAGGGTATACAAAAAGTTGTATCAATAGAACACAAAAGGAATATAAAAACAAGTTCATCCAGTCTGTATTTCATTAAATATTCGAAACAATCATCCTGGTTGTTTATACGTCATTGCATTCATTTACCAAATGCTTTTTTCTTTATATTCTCCTCTATTCAAAGAATTCATGAACATGTTTACAGTACGATGCGACGGTTTGAAATAGTTTTAATCGTGTAAATTTTCTTTGATTAAGTCAAATAACCACAAAAATCATATGCTGCTAGATTCAAAGAACTACTTAAATTTGATGAAATTGTTTTTGAATTTCTTTTTTTCTAAAGGGACCACCTTTTTGTACGCTATAGTATGTGCGGTCGGCTAGGTATTAGTGAAGAAGAGAAAAAAACGAAGAATAAAGAGAACATTAACACGAGAATATACATCGAAGATAAAATGTGATATAATATTACTGTCACACGTCATGACAAACAGCTCGTATCAAAACTTCGTCAGTATGATATTAGTTGAAGAATGATAAAATGTTACAGAGATGTAGAGTATTGTTTTTACTATGAGACCTTATAGAGAGAAAGTTTGTTTAAAGCTTTTTATAAGAAATTCAAATACTTTGAGTACTATTGTTTATATGTTCGAAGTATATTCGTGATTTTTCATTGATCATATGCTCTAATCTTTGAGCATTGTTATAATTTTAAGCAAATTAATTAAATACATCCAAGTGGAAATAAAGAATTGATTGATTCCAATGTTTTGTCGAGCTTTTAAGTATTTCCTGATATTGATAGAAAATTCTTTCGAGTTCCTTGATAACGACATTACTGCAGAGTATGATGTTGAAATAAAAAAATGACGGTATTTCGCTCATGTCTATGCATAGGAAATCAATGGTAATTGAAATGTTTTGTTAATTCTATAAATGATAATCTCAAGTTTATATTATAAAGTTTACTGAATAGTTTACTAATTGTTTTTCGAATGTAATATGACTAGAATGAATGAATCATTGTCTTTTATAAAAAGAGTAGGAAAAACCCAAGCGATGATTCTTTTGACATTTAAGGTCATAAATAAAGTCGACAAATAATCTGATCGTATGAACGAGGCAATCTCACGAAGTAATATATCAATTTTGAAGTGAGCCTTCGCTCATTATTTTACGTTCTATTACGACAGGAAAAACTCGAGAATGATTCATATTCATAAGTCTCCCTTCTCGAATTAGAAATATTTTCTTTATGTTGTAGGATATTGAAAGTGAAATCAAAAAAACTATTTTGAACTAAAATTTATTCTTACAGAGAAATCTGATGATAACTCGAATGTTTTTTTTTCCGAGATAATGGCACGTTCTTAAGACGTCATATCTTACTGAAGTATAGAAAAATATCGAATCTATCGAAAGCCTATTATCTTGGGGATGACACACTCGTTTTCATGACAACTTTTGGCACATTCGAGCTATTATCAGAATTTGCTATAGACGAAAATTCAGATCCAAATAATCATTTGATTCCACCTCTAATGTCCTACCACAGATCAACAACAGAATGAAGTGACCCTAAATTGAGAAGAAACATCTATAGGGAAGAATTATATTTGAGTTTTTCTTATCTTCATAGGATCTAAATCCTACATGAAGTCTCACGTCAAAATTGATAGATCAATTGGTGAGATTCCTTCGTAAGAGATTTCTGAGTCTTAAAATTTCGTTTGGNAAACCTCTAGTTCCATGTTTTCTGTGTGTTCATGAAGTTGAGCTCAGTTATAGTTATATGGTACCGAATGCTGCAACCCTATTGGTCGGTTTCATAGATCGCCTGTAGCATGGGTAGGATTGATTTTTTTTCGAAAAAAAGTGGACGTCGACCTTTCCCAGGACTCAGAAAAGAATTATGGAAAGTTTAGTGACTATAGCTATAACAGGGACTGAGTGCATCGCGAACAAACAAACACACAAACACACAAACAGACATTCTTCTTTATATATATAGATTATCGAATATATAGTTCTGAACAAAAATAGCTGCCTATCAGAAAGTGCTACTATTCTTTATGATATTTTGAGTGTATGTATGCGACGATAAACCTTTAAGAAAAGCACGAACCGGCCCTCTATCAATTCAAATGTACTGGTGTTATAGTTCAAACATAATCTTTCTCGTATGGTCACCTTATCTCGACTATGTTAGCACAAATATTTTCGTTCAACCCCTCCTTCGAAAAGCCACTGTCGTCGTTATCTCTAGTTCGAGTAGTATTAGAAATCAATTTGAGATAACTGATATATTATTTTCTCATTAAGAATGTCTGTTGAAGAGTAAATACTAGTTTTTAATAGGATAGATCTTTGTCACGATGACTTTGACCAATTCATTTAACAACTTTTAGGAGAAATTTCACATGAAACGATAAGTCTGTTCTGAAAGTTTTACAGCTGTAGTAGTGAACCAAGTTGCGTTATCTGAGAGCGTGCTAACCACTAAAGTCTTGTCTATATGTCACGGACTTTGATGACAAGAAATTAGACACATGGAACTATCTTTAGCGCTAGAAAAAAAAACATTAGTAGCTTGTGGACTAACAAAATAACAAATAAAAACTTTTTGATTTGATAGTTCTGCTGAATACATGTGAGCCGATGAAGGACGTGTTGGTACTTATAATCAGGATTTATTGTCACATGCAGACACCTAAAATATCAGCTCAATATATTAAAGAATAGTAGCACTTCACAATAGACGTAACTACTTTTGTCTAGGGCTGTAGAATGTTCAATCTTAAATAAAGTAATTCTTCTTTTTTTTCTAATTCGTCTTTTTAAAATTTGAAGCTTGTATTCAATAATGAATATAGAGTTTCTCAATTCTCCATCGAAGTACTTAATCATTTTTATGAGGAAAAAAAAAAGAATTTTTGTTTTCCTAGTATCCTCATTTAACCCCTTCAAAACCTGTGATTATATCCGATATATTTGGTGAATTACAATGGAATTCAAAACCAATGTCAAATCGTAATTCATCTCGGTCATTATTTATTACAACAAGTGGACATAGTTCCTCAAATACAACCGATGGATTACAAGACGAATCATTAAGTCTATCAGAAGAAGATCTCACACCATTACCTGTCATGCGAAGACAAAAACAGTGGTTAATTGATGCATCAGGTGTACCACATTTTTTATGTATACTTTCAAAAAAGAATTATCTTCTTTTTGCTTGTGATAAATATGGTTGTATTGATTTATATCAACTTGATGGAACTAATCCAAGTAATGCACCTCGCCATTTACGTCAATTTGATTTGTTTCCTGGTAATAATATCAGTCAAAAGCCACAAATAATCGAAGCTTTTACTGTTTATACACCATTTATTGTCGTTTCAGCTCGTATGTTGAAAATAGAAGAAAGACAAATTTTCGATTTGAATTTATTTGTTGTTTTTAAATATAGATTTAAGCGATCAAACAGATACAAGTTCAGTGTATTTTTTTGATCATCGTGGTGGTCAACAAGCTGATACTTGTTTACAAAATTTTCCTGTTCGACAACTTTCAGCTGATACTGGTTTTAAATGTTTATGGGGTGTTGATCGTCATCAACATACAGGTATCATATTTCATAACAAAAATTTAATGATAATTATTAACTTTTCTAGTTTATTATAATCAATTACCAATGAATGTTAGTCAAATTCAACAATCTATTGAACGTCGAGAAGATTTTATTAAATTTGGACGAGATTTTGAACCCATTAGGTAAGCATTTGTTTTTTATATTTCTAATAAAGTGACAACGAAACATATCCTACTGTTGAATGTCGTTCGATTTCATATTATGCCTACGAGTAAGTCTCGGTGCGATTAAGAAAATTTTAAGCGAATATAGACGCATGACCTAATGATGAAGAATTATGGTCGTTTTAATGAGATTTTTCTTGACAGCAGGATATTTCTGAAAAATTCAATACAAAGAGTTTTGACTTGAAACTTTGTTTATACAGAAATTTGATTGTCATTAGATAGTCTTTGACTTGCCAACAAAAAGACATGTTTGTTTTCGTCGAAGCCTTTCAGACTATCGAATATGTTACTAGGCAAAATTTCAGCTCGAAACTCTGTGTTTTGAAATTTGTTTTTCTGGAACGGTTTGCTTTCGGTATGCTACGATTCCTAATTCTTTTGAGTTTTTTTTTTTTGAGTCTCACCGAATTCTACTTGTCATCACCATAGGAAGGCGAACGATATTCGAGTGTTTCATATGTTCGTTCGAAAGATAATTTTTCTTTAATTTTAGAATAACACAAAATCAAGCATCAATTGCAGTTGTAGAACGTAATGCTCAAAGTGTACACATATTTGACAAACAAACAAAAGAACAAATAGATGAAATACAAAATCTTTTACGTACTGATGGCTCATTTCGTCTATGGAATGTTTTAGTAAGTTTATTTAAATGTTTTAATTAATTGAAAAATAAAAATCAATGTTTTTTAGCTTCGTGATGATAATTCAATGGTACTTAAATTAGATGAAGATTTAGCACCATATAGTCGACCACAAGCAATTCATCATCTTATTGTTGAACTTGATTCAAAAGGTATGCCTATATCACAAATAGAACGTACAGCTGTTTATGGTCTTGCTATTGGACCAAATCAAGAAATTTTACTTGGATGTAAAAGACATCAACAAAGTGGCTCAATCGAATGTTACATCTAGATAATAAGATTGTTTTCATATATATGATGATATTATATTATTTTAATTAGCAATGTTTTCGAACAGTTTTTGTTTTCTTTGTTTTTTTTATATATTATGCAAGATCTCTATAGATTGTATTTTCTTTTGAGTCAGATTTGTCATTCAACATATGTGTCCGAAAAAAACAAGAAGATAATATATTTCTCATTTATTAATGCATTTCTTTTTTGTTTCATTGGTATCTATAAGACATATTAAACTTCTATTAAGAAATGAAGTAAATACGTGTTTTAGATTTAACCTAAATTGAATTTTAGGTCAAATTAAACTTAGACGAATATTGTTTTGAATTAGATGCTAAACTACGATATATAATTTTTCTTTTATTTAAAAAGAAATTCTAATATTCATTTCCATTAAGAAAACATAGTAAATATTTGTTATTTTTAAATAGACAGAATATTTATTTTCCCTTATTCATATTTCAATATATGCACCAATGACCTCCTATGTCACGCGTTTGTTCATACTACTGATGATATAACAGCAATGGATTGTCGGTCAAAGAATAACTATCATGATACCTAGTAAAATATTGATCACAGGATGCTTCTAGAGGTGTAAACTGAAGGATCGAACGGCATCGGCGAGCAAAATTTTTCAATTTTTGAGAATTTTCAGCGACTGCCGATTTGATTTTGTAGGCTTTGCAACGTCGACGGCTATAATAGTTCCCGTTCTTCTTTACAGTGGCGGTGGTGGCTGTCAAGTGTAAAATTGAAGTATTCTTTCGAGAATAAGAAATTTCTGTTTATTTCAACTCCTGTGGTTAGAAATTCGACCGATAAAAAAAAAAGGAAAATATTCGATCGTATTCGCACGGATGCCAGCGGCGGCTGCTGAAAAATTCTTAAAATTATTTATGATTCAGTGGCTGCGGCAGCTCAGCCGTACGGCTTACATCTCTAGATGCTCCTGTGAGTCAAGCTGGACAAAAATCATCGGTAGATCATTCGGTATAATGTATAGTATACCAAAAATTTGCCGGCGATGGTGCGAAAAAAACGTGCAACATGAATAGCCAACCGTCTAAGTATCAAACTATAGACGGTTTACTGACAGCTTTTGTTCTGTTAGAATCACGGACATTATCCGGCGTTGATATCAGAAAATGATTGTCGAAATTACTTTTATAAACAGGCTTCATTGGTTTTGGTTTTTGTCCATAACTCAATAAAGCTTAAAAAAATAATATATTCATACTTTAAATATCATCTACGAACCAGGTGGAAAATCGAAGACAAATAAACATCGATAAAAACTAGTACTCAAATATACATAAACTTAAAGATTCGTTCTTTTGTCTTTGTTTTAATAAACAATTTAATATTGACAACATGATTTTATTTGAAAAACTCAAGTTTAAAACCTAACTTTTACTTAAAAATAAAAGATATTTAGAATGGTAAACCTCGCGCTCACAATAAAAAAATGATGGCTGTAGTTTAATAGAATGAAAAGCTCTCTATCGAATAATATTTGTTTAACAATGATTGAGTTCTTGTAATTGCAGATTAATTCCTAGTGGACAATCAGGTAAACTATTTTCATGCTTAGTCTTTATCTAGTCTTCACTTCATGGTATTCATGTTTAAATGATTCTATTGGTCACAGTCGTCGTATACTCATTCATTTAAAACAATGAACTCTTTCAGTAGTCTCATCTCTTGTTAGATAATGATATGAATATCAATGTCTAGCTTATTTTATTTATCCTTCTCGTAGTATGAATACAATTTCACTAATATTATATTATACGAAAATAAATTATGAAAATTTTTTTCAGATTTTCTCTTGTTTTCTTTTTATTTTTTAAAAACTTTTTTATAATCTATACATTGGTTTTCGTTTAATATGATCAACGTAAATCTTATTACATGTACGCTTTGTCGTAGTTTTTTCGGTGATCCACGTCAGGTAGATTGTTTTGTATGTCTTCTATTAGAAAAATAATTTTAATTGATTTTATTAGATTCCATGTTCACATTCATTCTGTTTCGATTGTATATCAGGTTGTTTTGATGATGCAACATTAATATTAATATGTCCTAAATGTAAAAAACTTCATCAATATGATTCACGTGAAGAATTTGAAAATCGTTGTATGCGTGATGGATTTCTTACATCAATGGTAGCACAATTTAAAAAAAGTCAAAGTCGATTATCTGGAATAAAATCTCGACCAACGTCAGCTATGTCACAAATTTCAACAACTTATGGATTTATACCAATATCTACACCAATACGTATGTTATCACAAGAAATCAATTCAAATTATAATCAATCATATTCAGAATGTTCAACACCATCAATATTTAGTCAACAAAGATCATCATCAGTTATATCACAATCAACAAATCGTTTACTTATAGCTAAATGTCAATCATGTAATATAAAAGGAGAATTAATTGTATGTACTCATTGTGATAATGTTATCTGTATTAAATGTATTGATGAACATCATAGTATAATTAATAATGATATTAAACATGAATGGAATCTATGTCAAGCTAAATTTCAAACATTTCATGAACAGTCAAGTATATATTAAAACGAAAATTTTATTTTAAGCTATACTAAATTTTGTTTTTTGCCAGATTGTTTTGAAACTGATCTAGAAGAATGTATGTGTAAAGCACGCCAACTGCAGATATTAATTAATGAACAAGGTGATAAATTGATTCAAACAATTAATTGTTATAAGAATGCTTATATTGATTTAATTGAAAAACATCGTCAAACTTATAAACAATTGTAAGTTAACTTGCGTCAGTATTTCTGAATATCGGGTATGTAAAAGGAAAAAAAAGCATATGTACTAATATATTACAAGTTAGTTTGATTACGCTCAATAATCAAGTTCAAAATAATCTTTATAAAAACTGTGTCGAAAGTTTTCAGGCATAATTTTCCTTCATTTTTCGATCGATTAAGGGTATAGGTCAATAGTTATGAACGAACCTTTGAAAGGCTTAAAAATAAAGTTTGGACACAGATGGTTCCAGCAGCTGGTTGTGATACGGAGTATTTGGTTTAGTCATACTTTCTATTCCGTGACTGCATAACATTTAGAATTCTTTTGAATCAGTATCTTGATAATGGACTTCCTTCTATTTCTATTAGCGATTTTTGCACAGCACTTAAGTCGAGACTCTCCTCTACAAAGTCAGATAAAAAAGTTAAACGTTGCCTCCATCCTGGATGTTTTCTTATGCACTCATAGCCGTTCGAACATTATTTTCAAGTCTTTCAAAGATTTGCTCATAACTTCTGATCTATGCGTCTTACGAAAATTTTAAACCTAGATTTGGAAAGAAGACAAAGTTCTAAATCTAATGAAGTGTTTAATGCTTTCTACGGACTCTCCTATAATCGGTCGAAAAATGAAAGAATATTTCGTCTAAAAATTTTCGACGCACATATTAATCATAAATGTTAACTATAATACGACAAACTCCGAAATTCAACTTTTTTTTGCGACTTATTTAAATTTTTGAACTCAGTCTTCACAAAAAAAAAGATCACATTTACTTGAACTCAAGCAAAATCATAATCTGAAAGCATAAATGAATCATATTTTTACATGAAACGATTTCTAATGGTTTCTACCTTTTATATGATAGAAATCACTGTAAAATTTTCGATGTATTTTTTTTATACGACAGTATTATGAGACTCATATACTTCTTTATCGAAATAGAGTATATTCATTGTTTTTTAGTTTTGCACATGAACAAGTGATTGATGAGTATGAATCAATTGATAAACGTATTAATGATTTACTAAGGTATATCATATCTTTTATTGATCAATGACATCAATATTTTACTTAGATCTAATGATATAACTACTGAAAAAAGCAATGATTTTTCATTTGAAATTGAACATCTTGAAGGTCGATTAGATAATCTAAGTAAACTTCTGAATTTAAATGAATTAAAGGTATGATCATTATTTAATGTTTATTTAATAGAAATCTATAGAAATCTATTTAGTTTCCCGTACTTACATTACCTGAAAAAATCGATATTTCATTACTTCTTGGTGCATTAAATTTTATTCCATTAGATTCTTATTCATCACAACTTTCAAATGTTTATAATGATTTGCAATTGGAACCTGATTATAATGATGATGTGTTTATTGAAGCAAATCATAATAAACTAGCTACAATCAATCAACGAGTATCACCATTACCTGTTCCAATAGTATCAAAGAAAAGATTTTTATGGCAATTAGATTATAAATTTGTACCATATTATATTCGTACTTATAATAATCAATTGTTTGTTTGCGATAAATATGGTTCGATTATATTTAATTAATCAAAAATGAGAAAGAAAACTTTCTTTTTTTTTGTTTATCTTTAGGATATATATCAATATATGAATTCAATAAACTGAATAATCTTCGACAAAAACCAACATTTATACGTGATATAATATTATTTAATGATAATTCAATATTAACATTAACGGATGATGATCAAACAATAATTGATTCGTTTGTTGTTTCTAAATTATGGATTATTGTATTAAAACGTAAAAAAACTGAATTATATGGTACGATTTATTTATTTACACACGATGGTAAATTAATACCAAATGGTAAATTTTCACATAATTATCCATCACGTGAATTAACAATTGATATAGATACAAATATACTTTGGTCACTTGATCAAAAACAACTTTGTCTTTATTATTATCAATTACCTGATCAAATAAAATATTCTAATAATATTCAAGATTATTTTCAAAATCGTTATTTACATGTACAATTTCCTAAAACATTTATACCAAAACATATATTTGTTAATAAAAATGTTTTAGCTGTCTTAGATAAAAAACGACAAGCTGTACATGTTTATGATAAAAAAACAAGACAAGAATTATATGAACATGTTAATAATTATAGTAATACAACCTATTTTTGTTGGGATATGGCATTATTTTCTGATAATAGTCTTCTTATTAAACTTGATGAAACAAATTCATTAAAAACAAGTTCATCAAAACATATTTATTTACAACTTGATACAGCAAATCAACATCATGTTATTGGAATGATCGAAGAGATTGATGCATATGGAATGATAATTACACCAACTGATGAAATTTTTATTGGAGTTAGGATTAATAAAAAAGGGATTATTAAATGTTATTCTTGAGAACAGTCTGTTTTTTGTTGTTATGTGATATGAATAAAAGATTTTTTTAAAGAAAGTTTTGAAGAACGGTTAAAGAATTTGTTTTTATTAGTTAAAAATATTTAAAAAAAAGGAACAAAGCGATGTGTGACGGTTTTTTCTTTGATTGTAAATAATGATTTTATTATTTTCTTGCTCATACTTAATATTGAGTTCAATTTGCTTACAAGTCAGAAAATGAACTGGCAATGTATGATCTTATCTGAACATCATTTATTGATTTCTTTTTAGACATCTTGATAATGGTATCGTTTGTTTCTTTTTAGTTTTGATTGCTGAGTTCAATAGATTTTAAACTATAGTAACTGAGAGAAATGTTCCGATTTACTTTTAGGAATACATTGAAGAGTGATACTGTATACATATATATATATATGTCGGAGTTGTCCTTAAAATGTGAAATAGTGAAGGTTGAGATTGTGAGTGAAGGTGTGGATGAACACTCTTCATCTACACTCTAATTGTCGTCCGATGTTCAACTTCCTTAAACAGGCATCTAGCTTCGAGTAGAATACTTCTTGCATTATTAAATGATATGATGGTACGGCAATTATAAAGAAATGATTTTTTAAAATCCACATCGAAAACTTGTCATCAGTTGAAAATCATTTATTATTGGTTATTTCATAGCAGTTTGATGTTTCTACATTTTAAAAACAACTGTGACCTATATATATATTTATACGGGAAATCAGAAATGAGCAGAAGAAAGATAGCAGCGTCTTCTATAATCATTATATATTTTTTAATGTATGCCTGTACAAAACAAAGTCTTTATTCGCATCTGCATATTATATTATTTTGTTCACATTCATTTCCTGCATCGACTTTTTTTCACGTATATTAGAATGATGAGCTAATGTCTTCAAAACAAAAGTATGTTCATAGCGTGCAAAGTACTTCTACTCAAGATCCTTATTAGAATATTTGTCACAGTAAATTAGAACGAAGTACATATCTTTGTCATCAAACTGATCAGTTAGTTCCTGTTCTTTCATTGACTCTTTTGTAGAACTGTCATATTACATATGTAGAAGCTAAGGAAAATCTAGAAAAGATTCCTAATTACTTTAGCAGATTAGCCCCTTGTATCATTTATGAATATTGATTGTACTTCAGCTTGCACAGAAAATAAAATTTACGTTGAAAGAATAAATATGCCTGATGCTTTTTTCAGCTTTCATATAAAATAATGGTGTTTGATAATTATTGAATGCATGACTCAAATAGATAAAAAATAGCTTTTTAGATGTTCTTTCTTCAACAATTATTTGCACAGTTTATTATTGAAATAGAAAAAACCAAGATAAAATTTATTATTCAGTTGTCTGATTCGTTATTGCATTTCGAATTTCAACAAAAATTTTGTCCCAATTCCATGGTTTTTGATCCTTGACAATAAATGTATATAAAAACGAAATTGATTTTGAGAAAATAATAGTTTTTACCTCATCATTGAATTCTTCTTTTAAATGAAGTTCCTGATATAAAATACCAATATCAATTTTAGGATCCTATTAAAAAGAAAATGATATCAATATTATATATTTAATATTTATTCTTACAATATATTTACTGGTACGTTCACGAGACAATTCTTTCTCTATTTCTTTGAAAGAAGCTATTTGATTAACAGAAAATCTAAAAAACATTTATTTTGAGAAATTTAGATATAAAATTTAATATTATTTTTTACACTGGAGCAACAGCTAATTGTAGTGTCATGTCAATTGGATTATCATTATCAGCTTCATCCATCGGAATTGTAGGGATATCTATCAGTAAAAGACAACAGACACTATTAGTATCAATAGTTCTTTATAAGTATTACCTGTAGCAATAATTTCTTCAGCTGCTCGACGAGTAGTTCGTCGAATTACTGGAGGTACGTTTATATTATCTCTAAAAAGATTTTTCAAATTTGAAGGTAAACAATAATGAAACAATGCTATTGGAAATACGACGAAATTTCTTCTTCAACAATATTACTTGTTTTTTCAAGTAATTTTATTATAACTAGAAGATTAAATTGTTTTTCATTTCAATATCGACCTACCCACTATTATCATTGCCAGCAATATCATTGGACCAACCACTTGTTGCATCAATAGTAGATCCTCGAACTGATTTTTGTTTTGATGATGCAGCAAAAGTAGTAGACTATAAGTAAACACTAATTATCTATATGAATATTATTTATACAAATTTTCTAAGCAAAGCGCCTACAATGATTAATCGTATTCTATATTTTTCTAAATTAATATAGCATTTAATCAATATTAAGAAATAATTAGAATAAGAAAGTGTTGATTTATTGTTCATGTTAAGAAACAAAAATATTCTACTAGAATTATGAATATGTCTTATTTGAATAACATTAAACATTTTTTTTATCACCTTAGCTGCACTTTCAAGCATAGAATCAAATGTACTATCGATAGGTTTATCGAGTACATGAGATGTTCGTTTTGATTTCTTTTTTGACTAATGATAGAAATCAAATAAATTGTATACGAGAGAAATTAATTACAGGATTCAGAACGTACTTTTGATTTAGATAAGTCATCACCAAGCCAGTTTTCACTCATCATTTTTTTTAATCTAGAAAAATGTTAAAATTAAAATGAAATATTCAAATATTTTATTTTAGTTAAGAGAATAATCTACAGTAAACATGTCTATAAGAAGAGAAACAACTTCAATCTGACTTATTCAGTTCATTTTATATGGATTAATCTGAGTTGAGCATAGCCAAAAATTCATCAAAATTAACTAGAAAAATATAGATAATTATTTAATACTAAGTAGTAAAAATTATTTTTTATACTTTCTCCATCACCATCTAAGTCAAATTCATCAATCATTGCTTTAAGTTCTTCTTCATTAACATTATCGCCGAGTTCTCTATAATAGAAAAAAAAAACAATTGAATATATATATATACATGTATATCCTTATATTTACCTTGCAACACGTCGTAATTTTTTTAATGAAACTTTTCCTGATTCATCATCATCAAATAATTTAAATGCTTTAAGGATTTCATCACGTGAATCACGTTGAAGTATCATTTCAGCAGCTAAATAAATAATTAGTTTAGTTTATAGTCATTAATTGAATGAAATACTTACCAATTTCATGAAAATCTTGATAAGTTATTTTATTTTTACCTTGACGATCATAATCACGCATTAATTTTTGAACTTCTGCTTTATGTACATCAAAACCTAATGCTCGAAGACCAACCTAAAAGAAGAAAATATTGTAATGAAATAAAAATAAAGAAAAGAAATCAAATATATATATATATATATATATATACTTTAAATTCATGATAATCAAGTTCATTATCTTTATCATTATCAAATAATTCAAATGCTTCTTTAATTTCATCGTTTTCTTCTTCAGTCAATTCACGACGTCGACCTTTTGATGGTTTTGTTGATTTAGGAAATGTAGGACTGGTAAAACTAACAGAACAATAAAATTTTCATACATTGAAATAGTCTATAATACATATAAAAGCTCACTTTCTTTCCATAGTTGATTAGAATAAGTAAGTCTAAAATGAACAACGCTTAGTGACCATCAATCAGAGGAACAAGAGAAAAAACCTGAGCGACAGCCTCCCTAAAATTTACATGACACACATCTGATTGGTCTGAAATTGACGTATTGTATTGTAACCTTTTGCTCCCTGTTGGTTACTGGAGTGACCATTTGTAGAGCGATTGCAGAAAATAAAGAAAGCACGAGATTTGAAAACAAATTGAAATAAAGGGTCTACAAAATCAATAATTTTGTAAAAATGAAAAAATTTGAATTTTTCGAAATGAAATGTTCTCTGACTACATTCAACAGAGATCTTTCGGAATTTCTAGGTGACATAAACCGATGAAGAAGCTTACTAGTGAGTTATGTATGTTTCAAAGACATGACGATAACTCTGCGGATTACACCTAATAAGGCATACAATTGACCATGAAGTCATTATTGGACAATCAACAATAGAGTTAATATATGCATTATAAATCTCAACTCATGAGAAGTTGTAACGATATTTATTATGAATTCAATGTGTTCAGAGGTTATAAAATGGCTCAAAGTAAAATAGATGTGTTTATTTAAAAAGATGTGTCAAAAACACATGTATTGTTTTGACATTGATTTTCATCAATTCATTCCTTCTTTTTTTCTATTGCTACAATAATATGAAATTGATGTTGCTTTTGCCCACTTAATAATGCAGTCAAAGAAAAAAAAAATCACGGCTTACTATGTCTTTCATTCCTCTTTCTTCACAGCGCTGTCATGGAGTCCATCAAACGGCTTTACATAAAGATATGGATATTCGGTATATCAGACCACATAATGAACATATTAGAGAGGGTTATACACTATTTATAATGCTATGTAATTAGTGACTCTTCTGGAACCGCTGTGAAAGGTAAAGGGTTAATCTACTATTTGAGAAGTAATTAAGATCAGTATTTTCAATACAAAGGATCTCAAGAAAAAGCAAAGTGCTCAAGGTACTTACGATTTTGAAAAGTACTGGATTTTGCATTTTACTGACAAAAAATAAAGTACTGTTATCGTACTCTAAAAAATAGAAAAAGCACTTTGCTTATTTGTTGCGGCATTATTGACAAGTTGCTCGTCTTTTTCGTGTCTACAGTGTAATTTTGTCTGAAATTAGGAAACATGTTTTTCTGTTATTTTTATCACATATATCATGAAAATTTTTCTCTGTCTTGTTTTTAGATTTTCAATCTCGTTTCTTATCAATACTTTTCTCATGAGTTCTTTTTGAACGCATTAATTTGGGAATTTTAATCGAATAAAATTCATGATCTTGCGATGAATGCATTAACATGAGCAAACAAGAACAATAATAATTACTTTAATTTTAATCCTTTTTGTTTTCATTTCTAATATTCATATGATAGTCGAAATTAATTCAGAGAAATATTTCTTAAATCTAATCAGCTGAATAGGTGTGAATAGCAATAACTTGAGCTTTATTTTGGAATAGATGAAGCAGGTATTTCACCGTCTCGTTAGAAACTGTATACTCGTCAAAGCGTTCATCGTGTAGAAAGAGTGTTCTTGTCATAGAAAACTATTCATTTGATAGGAAATTAATGAAAAATGGGAGAAGGAAATTTCTTTTATTTTAGTAAATAATAAATCACAACAAGTAATCTAAAAGAGATTATCATTTAGCATACTAATAGAGCATAGTAAGTTACTGCAAAAAGATTAATTTTTGAAAAATACTCATAATTGTCGTCATGTAGTACCGCACATCTCTTAAAGATATTCGACGTTGTCGTCTGAAATATATTTTTTGTTGTTGTAAACAATCTGAATATTTATTTATGAATTTATTTTTTCTCTAATTTCCTATGATACGAAAACTCTCTGTATATGATGAACACTAGCTTCAATGTTTAGCATATATACAGTGAAACACCTGCTTAGCCAATACTTTTGTTGTTTTTCAGTGAAGTGAACAAACTAGTTAGTACTTTTTCATTATCTTAAGTATCTAGAATACTTGACTTTTGTTTGAAATGCTTAACAATGAAAATACTACTTCTATGTGTGTGTGCTTTTGACAATCTTTGTTTTGGTTTGACCATTTATTTATTCGTGAAAGTAAAGGTGAAATCAATATGTAGTTGATGGTTATAGAAAACACATGTTTTATTATATTTCATTTCATTAAATAAAGTAATATGGAAATATTCACAAGTCATTATTAATAATATAAATACGAATTCATTGAAAAAAGTATTCTCTTCGAAGAAATGCGAGACATATAGTAAAATGTTTTCCTCATTTTACTTTCCCATATAGCTTACACACGCATTGACACTTCAGACGTGAGAGTTTGAAATGTAAATCAAACAATAGCTTTAAAAATGATCGAATACGATGTTCACATGTATTCAGTAGATGTGCAAACCTCATCAAATCATCAATGAAAAATAGCAGAGAAGAAGAAAACACAGCTAAAACTGAAGGAAAACATGTGAAAAATGAAAAGAAAGTTCCAAATTGTCATACGATCGGAGTTTTTGAAAACATAATCCACTAGCAGAGCCAACTTTCTTTACTCGAATGATACACATTTTTCCATCGGTCAAATCTATTTTGTTAATAGGAAATGACTTCTGATCAATTCTATGATATAATCAAAGTCCGATATCAGGTTCTATTGTTATTTATCTCGATTGTCACAGATCTTTGCCGGATTTGATGACAATGTGATTGACTTTGATTGTTATTGAGTGACTCTGATATTTCGATCGAACATGACTTGAATAATAAAAACAAAAGATGAAATAAAGATGATCGAAGATGAGTAATTAATTTTGAATAAATAATAATATTATTCACTATCAAGAAAATTGAAGTATGTCCCATCGACTAAAATAACAGTTCATTTTTTTATCTTATATTCGAATGAGTGCACCAACATTCAAATCAAGACTGATCACATTGAAATGTAGTTTTTATCAATTATGAATTGAATTCGATATCTCAAAATTTTTCTTGTTTTTTATTTTATTTTACAATCATTCGATCGTCTCTTCTTGCATAAAAATAATATACGAAAATGCGTTTTGTTGCCTCTCCAGATATATCATGTCGTTGTTTTTTATTTAATTTTGAAAGAAAAAATGTGATATGCCAATTGGATATGTTTACTATAAACGCGATTGATCATTGAATTTCATTCTGTAAATGAATTTTCCATCATTGATCGTATTCGACGATTGATCGGTTCAAAATTTAGGATGTTGGTGTATGCGTTTGAGAGTCTGCTTCTCAATCAAATTCAATGATTTCTGAATTTCGCACTGATTTATAATAATTGGGTCGAGTTTCACAATTTCGAATCCATTCGAGGATGATATTGTGATTTTTTGTCAATTTCTATTGACTTTTCCCTTTTCAAAAGATCCTTCAAACCTCTCAATGGATAACATAGATATCAGTAAGGATCTGATCGGACAGATGAAATGGAGTCTTTTTGACAGGATGATACAGCACATTGATCACGAGAACAAGAAAAGATATATGTATTTCGCATTTTCTAGCTGTCAGCTCAAATACGAAGATATTGATTTCTGATGGCAATGTGGTTTCTTTCAAGATCCGATGGAACACTTTCATTCTCTGATTCTCTCTTCTTCTTTTTTAAAGAAAAAAAAATCTTCTAAGAAAAATTCAATAACCAACGTTGAAATAAATCAAAATTCTCGAGTCATAATAAATCTTTTCATTTCGAGAAATCGAACTTTCGAAAATGAATTTGACTGAATCAATATTTACAATAAGAGTTTTGTTTTTTCGCACAGTCGACATTAATCAAAATAATGGATTGTCCGCCAAGCTAAAAAATCTTTCGGTTTCACTGTAATTCAGCACATGTTCGATTCTGTGACGAATATTTGCTGTCACTCCGATGCTAATTATTGAGAGAAATACTTTTCACGTGCAAGTTTCGACAAAAATATTGATGAAAATCTAAGAGATTCTGAACAAAAGAGGAACGATTCGATCAAACATTTTCTTCAATTGATCGATTTCATCAAAAATCCTGAATGGCAATATCATAAACTGATAGAAAAAGGTTAACTGATTTTGTTTTAGAAAATAACAACTAAAAAGCAATAATTTTTCCTGTTCATGATTGACCATCACATGAGAAGTATTGAACAATGATGTTGCGTTTTTTCGGAAAAAAATAGCGATTTGTTCAGTTTGAATCGAATAAAATCTCATTTGATATTCATACACGAAGTGATATATATAGTTTGTAAATCGGAAAGTATACAATCATTGAACAGGTTTCTTTTTGACAGCTTCAACTACAAGTTGCCTCCAGATCACCATGCCACTCTTGAGTTGATCAAAATAATGATATGCATCATCGACTTGATTCCAATCGCTCGAACAGTTTTGTGGCGGTGTTTTATCATTACCTTCGTTCTGCTTTTTTCCATAGAACTTCCACCAACAATTATTAAAACCACAATTTGTTGGTTGAACATAATTTTTGCATAGTGGACACACAGTTTTGGTATCACTGGGATCGACTAGAATATCGAATTTTGTATAACCCATTGGCATAATAACAGTGTGCTTGTAAGCGTCGCACTTAGAATTGGTGCATTGACCTTCAAGACATAAGCCGCAACGCGTTCTTCGCCAGCGTGGAGCATCTTTAGACCAATCACGTCGTTTTAAGTCTGTACTATTGCTAACATTGACAAATCTCAGTCCGACAGCACCAAAGTTTCGGGCTTGTATATTGAGATCAGATAATTCCAACCGAGAACCTTCTTCTACACCATAAGACAATAGTGTTTCTTCATCTTCATCGAGTATATCTTTATCAAAAGTCAACGACATGTTTCGTATATTTTTCACATCATTGCCGGCCTCTTCATAAAGCAGTTTCTTGAGTTGTTTAATGGTGGTAGAGGAGTCAACATCAAATTTATACTTACGTCCTTCTCCAATAAGGCTGTTAATGATTATCTTCATAATGACACTATAAATAAATTAGTCAAATCATTGATTTCTAAAGTCTAGTGAAAATACTCATCAAGCGAGTATGAATTGCCAGCAGGAGTACTAAGATTACTTGCACGAGTACTCTAGTAGTTTTATGTATAATAATATTTTTCGTGTATTCTAGTGAGTACCTATGTGAGTTGTTTCTCTAAGATTTACTCGCAGACGAAATTTGGAGTACTCAATGTAGTACTTATCCTCATTTTTTGAAAGATATTTAACAAAACAACTATGCACTAGAATGTACGGAAATAGAATTAAGTTGTATAAAAAAGAAAAATGATTTAAAAAATTGAAAATCAGAGAAGAGCTATTTTGACGACTTATTTATCTTATTCCCTATTTTCTTCTGATGAGTAGCTCATACTGTTTTAATAAATGGTTATTTAAAGAAGAGAAAAATAACTTTTCATTCAAACATTTCATTTCTCGAGTAAGTTTAAATATTTATTTAAGCATAAAAAGTAATTTGTCGAATTTCAATTTCAAAATATAGATTCAATATTCTTTTAGATTAATATAGTGTTTTTTTGACTGATCGTGACAATTAATGAAAGTAAAGAAGAATGATAACTTCGATACAAACCGATTAAAATTCAATATTCTGAAGACACATACATTATACTAACGATAGTTAATTTGTTTTTTACTTATTTCTTTGTATACAGCTCTAAATGAAATCTAGTAATGAGTTAAAAATTTCCCTGTTTCTTTCGTATCGACTTACACTGTACGCTTATTCTTATGTCATATCTTAAAATCATAAAAAAAACTTGTTATTGATCTCTCTTCACCAGTGTCGTACTGCTTTAAACTCGTATTATTATTAACTGTTTCTTTATTTTGTAAAGGTGAAAATACCATTAGAGTACACAAAAATTGTAGCATGAATACTCATGAAACATTTAATTTTACAAGAAGAGTACTCGATTGTCGTACTCAGATTTTAGTGCTAGTACTACTAATGACTACCCAAAATATAGGAGTACTCATGAGTACTCGTGATATTTTGTAACATGAGCACTTTTTGAGTATTTCCTTGATATGTCCTTTCACTAGGCAAGTTCAATGATTTCTTTTATCATCTCATACACACATTTTAGTAAATACCTAAGTATGGAATCTGCCGAAACTCTGAAAGTTCTTTTCGAAATAAATCACTCACACTCAATTCAAATCAATTTACCTCTTTGAGTCAATATAATAGTACCGATGATTTCCACGTCGTTCGTGCAATAATTAAAAGGCGAATAATAATCTGAAATTCAGGATTATATAAAATAAAATTGGTGAAAAAAACATTGGCATCCCTATTTGTTTCTTATTTTGTTTCATGGTAGTCTTTGTTAAATTCAAATTACTTCTCAGCTCTCGATTTTTCAACTAACATCAGCGGCTATATACTGTAATTTTCACGTCCTGAGCCACCTTCATACTTCAATGTTAGACATTTTTTTTCAAATAGAATGGAGGACATTAACAAAAAAAACAACTTCAGAGATATGTGTTGTATACTCTAAAAGGTTCGAAATTGCGTAGATCTGAATTTTTTAGGCTAGTTGTCAAAAAAGAATGTGGTTTGTGTTGATCACTACTCAATTGTTCGTACAAACGGATTTTTCATAATTATTAGGAAACAAGTCTTGTTTTTGCTTGCAGTCACTCTGTACACCTGACTGACGGCATAGAATGTTTTATATTTGTTGGAAAAGAGTTATTTTCCGTGTTGTCTTCCAACTTTTACTTTTGGCCTACATTGGCCAATTATAAGACGAATAGGTTTTTCTCGTCAATAACTTGAAAGAATGAAAAAAGTAAAGAACACGTTAATCATCATAGTGGAGAAAAGTGGTTGTGCAATAAAACACATGGCAAACTAAAAGAGTACTGCTGCAGGATAGGAACACCCAATTGCCACAATATACTGATTATGTATTACGCCAATTGATTCTTTCGTCTGTTCTGTATACATAAAATAATATGAATGTTTCTATTTTGCAGTCATCCCTGTTGTGCTAACAATAACAACAAATCTTCTGCTACAACATTTCTTACTTGAGATAATGCCTTAATAAAGAGACTTCTCAGCATAATTTCTTCTGTTGTTTTTCGAGCTTCTAGACATGGAAAACAATACTTTTTCTTTATTAATGACGAACTACTTTTCAACTGAAACAAGATTAGCTTTATGATTCGATTTCTACCGTGTTTTTATGGGCGAATAATATCGTTGACTTTTTTATCTTCAGCAATGAGTCATTGACTATATTCTTCTAGTAGAGTGCTAGTTTCTCGTACACAAGAACAAAAAATGTGGGTAGATTTGAAATTGGTTTTATTCTTGACATTGCACTACTTATTATTCTCGTTCTATTTAAACTGCTGAGATTGAATATGCGAGATATGAACGTTTCATTGAGGTTCCGAACACTTTTTACCAATGCCAATTTCATTATATAAGCTTTAGCAAAAATATGATGTCATCTTATCGTAATTGCATAGTGCATGTAGAAGTATCGATTTGAGAAAAAATTGAAAGAAGAACGAAGCTCTTCGTGTGAAACATTCAAGTATTGAACTTGAAGGAAAAGACAGTTATGATATTTTTCGAAGAATTTTCACTCTTTTTCATATTCAACCCACAGATAAATTCATTATCAATTATCTTGCGAAGAAAACGAACGTCGAAAGATTCAATTATTTCAAGGAAACCATAAAGAATGGAAGAATCTTCCTCGATAAGCAAGTCACAGTGATTGAATTCCTCTGTCTGAATGTTTTGTAGAAGAAAAAAAACATAATTAAGTAACTGGTTAAAATGCACCTGGTATTGCCAAACATCTTGCCAATGAGAACGTTGCAATTTTTCGAATCCATTGACAGATATTTTCACTCAACAGTTTGTTTGTTCTCCATCGTTATGCATAGTCAACATCAAAGCATTTTCTTTGCATAATTGACTGCTTTGTTTATAATTCTTTGTCGTTAATGCACAATAAGTGATGAAACGATTTCTTTGCGTATTTTGTTTTCATATGAAGAGTAGCACGCAAAGATGATGGATTATATAGGTTAAAGTGTCGTTTCGAGTTTCAATCGTTTGAATACAATTGAGTGAGTTTAGTAGAAGATCTTTGATCAAGTTTTTTTTGGTCACTATCATCTCAGTTTGTATCAATATAATTGGTAGACTCAATAAGATTAGATAGGTAAGAAATTCTTCTTGATTTTGTCGTAGAAAGTCAGTAGAACACAGATTCGATTCGATTCGATTCTAGAATCTAGAGAAGATTATCAGATGAAATGTGGCTTTGCACTATTGAACATGATCAAAATCGGTTCGAAATCAATCTTATGTTGAAATAAATGGGTAAACGCAGTTTGACTGAGTCATTTGAATTGTCAAGGGAATATTTTAAGACGATAATCTCTTTCAGATGTTCTTAGCAACCAGAATGTCATCATCGTCAAGTGATTGAAATAGTAACTGGAAAATAGAAATCGATGATTGCATCGTTTGATCTATCATAATTTTGAATAATCCTTCCAGGACATTGAACGATTCTCCAAATTCATAATGTTTTGAGCAAAAGTTCGATTTGATAGCGAATATTTTGTTTTAGATAAGTTGAATACCTTGTATCGAATCATCGATCATGAGTAAAAAAACTGTTTCTTCGCCGAATTCAATCACTAAATTAACATCAGTAACGAGCAAGACGAAGAAAACAGATCGATCCACAGATGTTGACAATGTTTCTCGAAGTGATCGTCATCCAATTAAAAGAGAGGATAATCATGAAAGTGTTATTTTTATTCGTTTGGATACTGAAGGATCATCGTCAATCAATCTCATTGGTCCACTTCGATCGATACATAATTCTGTTCGATCTTATTCGAATTCTGCATCTTGTTTAGATGCCATGAGATCTATTAAAGAGAAGATTTTCTTTATCTGTTCATTTTTTAACATTGAGCTGTTGATGACAGTGCAAAACATCGAAAATGTTGAAGCAATATTTATTCTGGATCCTAATTCTCAAGATATCAAAGGTGATTTTCCAAAATTGATCGGTGTTTTTACTCAACAAGAAGAGCTATTTCGATCATTAAAAGAGACACTCGAAACTTTCGAACAAATTCAACTTGAAAGATTTTCATTTGAAAAAGAGACTCTATTTCTCTGGTATCAATTGTGGAAAGAAGAGGTCAGTCATTTTCTCGAAGATTCTGAGCATGAATTTTAAGAAACAAATTCTTCTATTTAGCTAACACATCGAAAAGCATCGTCAAACAAAACTGATTTCATTGAAATGGCTCGACTTTGTTATCGAGACAATAGTCGAATAATGGAGATGATTGATGAATTTGAAAAGTCTTACCGATCATCTGAGATTCTCCATTGGTGTTTTCGTTCTCCATTTCCAAATCGTTTTCTTCATCATGCGATTCATTCTCACAATTTGGAACAGTTGAATGTGTGTCGATTTATATTTATCGATGCCAATCGTTTCTTTCAACAACAACCAAAACATAAATCGAGTGATCAATTTTATCGAGGAATGAAATTAACCAAAGAACTTTTAGACCAATTCGAAAGTCATGTCGGTCAACTTGTGTGTACAAGTGGGTTTTTTCCATGTACTAAGTCGAGAACACATGCGTTATCATTGGCATCATTACCTGGCTATCGTTCTGATCTCTTATCTGTTCTATTTAAAATCGATTGCGATTCTACAAGTATGTACAGTCAATTATCGAATAAAATGTCATCAAACGTGATTATCTTCGATGTTTCAATTTCGTTTCGAGTGATTAATGTCCATCGAGGACAAATGTCTGTCATTAAGATGAAGCCAGCAATCATAGATGGAAAGCAAATCGCACAAGATTATCTTGAACAACATCATGATCAATCGATCAAGTCAGTACTCGATCAACTTTTGGCACCTCCTCGAGTTCAAACCCCTCCGTTATCACCACCACCACCACTACCATTGCTTCAAACAATCATATCGACAACTTCCATTTCCACCAGGTATCATAAAGGGACGACTTTGATTGATTGTTGTTTGTGTTGAAGAGTGCCTTGTGTCAATCTTTTTTAGAAGTTCATCTGTCAATGATAATGAATTGGAGGCACAGAAGCATTTGGAACAAGGTCAAATCGATTTGGCTTTAGCTGCCTATAGACGTATTTATCCTGTTTCTGCTAAAATTCTAAACATAATCGGACGATTGTGTGCCGAGAAGAAGAAAGATTACGATTGTGCCTTGGAATATCACACTCAAGCATTGAGAATTCAAGAACAGGTCAGATGTTGAGTAAGAAAATATCACAAGTAAAATTTGATCCCTTATCTATTCGCAGACAGGTGAAGATTTTTGTGATACATTGGCTGATTTGGGTAATATTCATCATTGTCGTGGTCAATACGATTTAGCTTTGGACTATCATCGGCGTGCTCTTACTCTTCGTGAAAGTCTTCATCCAAATGATGTTGCCGCTCAAGCAACCAGTTTACTTGCAATAGGTAATGCTCATTGGGCTCGTCGAGAATTTGATCAAGCTATTGAAATGACACAACGCGCTTTGACTTTGCAAGAGACTATACAACCAGTCAATGAGACCAGTATCGGTACCACTTTAGCCACGCTCGGCAACATTTATCAAGATTCGGGAAAACATCAGCCAGCTCTTGACATGTGTACACGAGCATTAGCGATTTTCGAAAGAAATCTTCCAGCCGATTCACCAGTAATAGCTGAATTACTAGAAGAAATGGGCGTCATTCAATTGGATCTACGGGCACTCGATGATGCTAAGCAAATTTTTGAACGCGTTGTCGATATTTACACGAAAATTCTTCCACAAAGACATCCCAATCGAGTGTCAGCGGAGGTCGATCTTGAACGTGTTAATCGACTGATCCAGAAGAAAAAAAGCAAGGTGAAAAAACACACGTGAAACTTTTATTGAATTGAAATTTTTTTCGAAAAGATACTTCGTCAAACGGTGATAAAGAACCAGAATTCGTGTTGCTTTGAACAATCATCTGTTATTTTTTCCATCTGCATAAATGAATGAATGAGAAACCGACTTGTTTTTCACTACTGCATTTTTCCAAAAGAATTGGAGTATGGAAAACGTTTGCTAAAGAAGGTTTCGAAAATACAAGAGGTGAGTTTAGCGTCTGAACTTTGATTCAACTGGAACTGATTTCAAAACAAAATCTACTAAGTACTGATTTTGTCAACTGAGCTTGAGGATTTGTATCAATGCAGAAAAAGAATCAATCAATAGTCACCGAAAATAATGATGAATAAACATATATGAAATTTTTGAGAACTTGTTCAAGATCAAGTCTTGACGACACCCACACCCTCGTATCTTAAATGATCTCTACATGTCTCTGTTGTATTCTTGCTAAGATCTTGCTCGGATTATGCATTCATCCTTCACGGAATCTTCGCACAAGAGTCCTAGGATATCCTGATGAATACTTGATAAAATCCTGGCAGAGCTCGATCTGTGGTTCTTATGAGGATCCTAGACAAGATCGAGAGTAAATCCTGATAGGATCTTAGGTTTTTAAAGTAAAAAACAATCTGAATAAGATCTTGTCTACTCGTGAGAAATCCTGCAAACAAGAATTATCATGATTTGAGATAGGATCCTGAATAAAACTTTTCAGGTTCCTTGAGTCCTAGGATTTTGATAGATCCTTTCAGGATTTCCTAAGGAACGAACAAAATTGAGACTAGAGCTTGTAAGAAGCTTTTTTAAGATCCGTGAGACGAAAAAAGATTTTGTATCAAAAATACGAAACCATTCAGGGTCGACGCGAGCTCTTTATGGTTTATTCCTCAACCTTTAAGATTTCGTATCGTATTCCAATGGTTTCGTACCAAAGGTTTCGCAGCTCCTGCCGAACTTTAAAAGGCTTGGTAGTATAACTACTTTTTTTAGTGCAACCTTAGGCAACGAAGCTGAAATTTACAGCAATTAAAGATCTCACTATCCTAAGACTATTGACAAACAAAGTCTCCGAACTTTTCGTCGGCATCATAGTTTCTTTTTAACCACAATATGTCACATTTTTGCCTATAGTAGTTTCTGGGCATTACTATATCAACTCATTCATCTCACTCATTTACGGAGTAATCCTATGCGAGATTATGCAAAGAATGAAAAAATAGCAAAAATAGCCCATTTTTGGATGTACTGTTCGAAACCAAAATAGGATAAATAGCCACTGATTATAGCCATGTTGGATACATACATCTAGTATCTATCTAAGAATATTACAATTAAATGTTCAAAGGCATTCTATTGGCAAACAAGGGTATGCAGACTAGTACCCTATAGTCAATTATAGTGAAAAAGTGGCATATTGTTGGCTCACAATTCTCACTTATGCATAGCATAGTTCAGCGGAATTTGGAATAATTGTTTAGTAAAATACTAACCCTAGTCTATATGTTAGTATAGTTAGGTCATCTTGCCACTTCCCACATCGGGCAATCGAATGATGTGAAAATCGAGATTTTGGTGTCGTTTTTAAGCATAGACCTGTTGCGCGTGGGTGTGGGTGTGGTTTGACTCTTTCATGATACCCACATACACAGTCATACTCTTACCGAACAACACCCACACCCCCTCAATTAATTCAAACCTATTGTATTTATGGATCGTTTTCACCCTGAACTGATCATAATCTGACCGGTGGGTCCTATTGGCAGTATTGCTTTATTTATTTTCTCTTCAAAAATTTGTGCATTTACTCTCTGTTTGATGTTTCTTTAAAGCGATACCACAATGTAAATAAATTTGAGGAACATTTCGATGACAATATCCTTATCATTTGAACCTATCTAAGTATTAAATTCATTGCATTAACTCTTGGATGACATCTGAATATTATTCAGTTTATTGATCCATGTTGTATGATCAATATATTGTCGATGCAGATCAACAGTAGGCAGATAATACCTGATGATTCATCGAAGTACATTCAGAAACGATACAATAGTAATAAAAAAAGCAAAGTAAGTGAAAGCAATAGTATTTGCCATCCAGCCATTCTTTCTTACCTCGAAAAATAATTTAACTCAGCATGTTCAAATTTCATGCAAACTGTTCTATCCAAGGGATCATATTTTACAGAATACTTATGTTTGGTTATTTTATTAATTTTAGAATCAATCGAGGTGAATCCTGGCAACGTTGAAGTATTTTTTCGATAAATCAGTTGGTTGGACCAAGACTAGAAGGACAATTTTGCAAAAGAATTTCTCGAACTTTTTCATATGTGTTAAAAGCAACATCTTTTTCATTTATATACAAAACCAGGAAAGTCAAGATGATCATCAACTACCGTGTCATTTGATGAATCATATTTTATATCACATTATTAACAAAAAGCAATTTGTAATATTTTGCAGCCATTTGACAAATATTCTCACTTTTAGTTTTAGTTTTTATAATCAATTCTGACGAATATTTTTTCTTTATTGGCTTCAGTCAATTCGAGATAGATATAACCATTTTCATAATCTGTAATATAGTAGATGATCGTTCAACAGTCAATAGATAATGTATTGCAACTTGTCCATGCTATTCTTGAGACACATTCGCGTCATTTACAGTTCAATGATCTATGCCATCAATGAGTCTATTAATATCACCTAAAGTAATCAAACAATTGAATTCATTATGATCGATACTATGATCGCTAAACTTGAATTGCTTTACCATAATATAGTAATCTCTCATTATAATTATTGCTAGTATACTGATGAATGAACTAATAGTATTTTCCAGCTAACATCATGATTCAATTAATATTAATGAATTATTTTATTCATTATTCTATTTATATCATCTAATGATCCAACAGCATAATTCTGGGAATTGAGCTAAAAAAGTTTTTCAAAAAATATCCTCTGCTCTGGTTTATTACGTCAAAAGAAAATTCTTAATCATTAACAGTTCACAAATCAAAATCAAAATTTAACTTTAGTAACTTTCTCCACATTGTAAGTTGTAAAAATAAAACACTATTCTAATTATAAATAGAGTTTCCAATTTATTCGAAAAATAACTGTTATACGTGAAAATCGAGCAATACGGTGAAATTTATATCGAAAAATTATTTCAATTTCATATAAGACTCGTCATATATTCATGCTTATAATGCTCGACATTGATTGAAGACATAATAAGACAACATGATGATTAAGTGATTTTCAGGAAAAACTTGAATTATTAATCATAAGATTTGAATATCTTTGTTTACGGTCTTCAAATTCCTTTCGTGCTATTATTTGCCCATGAAAAACTTTAATCAATAGATATTTTAAATCTAAATTTGACTTCGGAAATATTTCATATTGATATCTCAATTGTCAGTGTAAATTTTGAATAAAGAACCGAAATAGAAATGGAATTTAAGTATAGTGTTGTGTCATAGCACAATTTAGAAGACGATAAAATTATATCAGTTGTATATGTCATCAAATAGCTTCGTCTGTTCCGTGATTGTTTTCAAAATCTTTAATGAAATTTAATTATTTGTTATTATCTTCATAAAAATCCCTTGATGAATGAATAAGTCTATGCTGAGAATTCATTGAATATGAACAATAACATAGAATGCCAATAAAACTTGACCACCTAACCAATTACGAAGTTAATTTCTAATTTACATTAAAATTTTCAGACAGTAATCCAAAGTACGAGGGTGCGTTTGTAGGCATGAAAGTGGATCGTATAGATTCTGTCTTAAACTCACACGTACACCAACACTATCACACGCATACACATGCGTAAGATTTCAAACATCTACTGCAAATAATAGAATACTTTCTCATTATCTCGTCTGTTATCATGAAGTCAACAGATCTTGGGTGTGGGTGTGCGTGTGAATCTTCTCTTCACGCACATACACACCCTTCGTTGTTCGTTCAGCTCATTCTTGTTTGTTAGTCATCATTTATTTTGATATGATGCACACTTGCGGAGTGCTCGAGAAAATGAAAATGAGAGGGATAAGGCTCGCATAAGTCGCAGAAAAGTGCGTTTCAAAATATTCCATGCACATCAACAGATCCATATGGTTTCATCTAAAAAGCTGATGAAATTTTCCAACTCTTTTGGGCCCCGTGCGCTAATCATTTTAGTATACAATATATTGATGTTCGACTGTGATTCATCTGAGAGTTCACGTAATAAAAATATGTCACCGTCTATTTGATGGAATTATTCAAAAGTTAAATAACGTATTCTACTCAAAAAACATTATAGATGTTAAAAAATCTGATCAAATTCAAATGAATTGGTGGATTTGCGGATTCGTTATGGAAAAATGTTATCAGCGTGAACAGCCGAAGAAGACTGAAGATTTACAATAGTAGCATAGCAGGTGCGATCAAGCCGACCATACCAAACATATAAACTAGATTTTCACTCCGGCGTAAATTATGGATAGAATTGTTATCAAAAGAATTTCATATGATTAATATCACTTTCTCCATTCATATGTACGAGACTCACTAATGAAAAACTTGAAAAGTGGATGAGGGTGTCTGAGATGTCGGGATGAGTAGTTGGAGTTAAGAGAAACCGTATACCTACACCAACACCCTGATATCCATTGACATATGCCTTGTCACTTATGTTCATTCAGTGAATTAATCGTGCTCACCCTAGCGATCGAGCACCCGTCTTTATAATATTCGAATGCTTTTATCGATTCGTATATGATGTAGACAAATTTCTGTTTTGACTCTCATGCTGACTACGCCGTAATATAGACTAGGTTACATTTTCAAATAACAAATTTCGAAGCGCGTTCATTCGGCAAGCAAATCGAGTTGGACTATGTTCTTATATTTTAGTTTGCCTTTAACTAGAAACGTATGCATGCAATTATTTGTTTTTGTTTTTAGATATAATCTTCAAATGTTATTGTGTCAAGTGAATATGTAATGGAATAATTTTATCAGTTTTATTCACAAGAATCTCTTGAATACTGTATATCCGTTGCATGCTCATTCCTTGTCACTATCGCCTTTTCTCGCGAAATCGTACGAGTAGTCCGTAGGCAATAATTGATGATCGTATGTCAGTGTAATATTCAATTTGTTCATTTGGAATATGTGGACAAAGGCGTTTTGAGCCAGCTTCGATTGTTTCACCTTGCATTTTAAATGAGTTTGGTTGTTGTCGACATTGAAGCACAAGCTGCACTTCATATAAGATATGATTCGTGTTGGAATAAAAGTCATTATTCGGAGTGTATATCGTCGAACTTGAATAAGCAATAGTGGGTGACGTAAAAATAAATTTTTTATCAGGAATATGTCCGTCTCTAATGCCCAAAATGGATCCATCAATTAATTTATCTCCTGGTAAATAGAAGTGTCGGTGAATAAGAATTGATCGTGCAGCTATTTTTGTAGTTCCATGAAATGTTACTATCCATTTATTCCAAATGTCATGTTCATCGTCAAGCATTTGATCGACATGAAGACCTAAACGAGTCCAGCCACGTGGTATGACATATTTGGCATTGCCTGCTGAGATAACATCATCCCATGAACTTGCATAACAATTAGTACAATAACATCGATCTTGTGAATCATTAAATAGTGCTTTGGACCAGTTTAACGAATTGACAAATTCCTTTGCAAGTGACACGGAGAAACACTGTGAAATTTGAAACAATGTCGTAACAGTTATAGGTTTCGTCAACGTATCTGGTGTATTTTGCATGCTTTTCGCGACGAACGGGATTCTCGTGTCTAAACTGGATGCACTATCATCCTCAGACACTTCATCTGAATCATAGTTTTGAAAGCTCTCAACATCATAATTGTCATTTCTGCTATCAATAGATCGTGTTTCTCTCGATATTGGACGCGCCCAAGACGTTCTCCTTGTCACTTGTGGAGAGAAATAAGATGTTTCATATGACGATCCTGCGTTGTAAGATGATAATTTTGCCGGTCTTTGTGGATCAAGAAATACTACTGGCGATTGTGATGGTGTGGACAATGGCGAAATACCTGTAAACATATAAGAGGAAACTATTTTGTCATATTTTCAAGTAAAACAACAGAACTTGATGAAGAAGTTTGATTCACTTGTTGTCGATTTTTCTTGGAAGATCCACTTCCCATTTCTCAACTTCTTACACTAAAAGTTTATACGCATACTGTGCTAGTATACCGAACGAAAATATCGTACTGCGCGAAGTCACTTATGTTTTGTGAGTATTATAGCAATAAAGATAACATATCGTTGTATTGACATAACCAAGAATACGATAAAGCCTTTAGCGATATTGTGAAAATATAAAATCCAGCGTTTTTGAATTTATGTTTTTCGTTGAAGTATTCAGTTACGAAATATTGTTGTACACCACAATAAAAGCATAAAATGAAATCAAAACTCTCAAGTGAATCGTCGTTTATTGTCGTACCATTCCAAAAAGAGAATTACAAAAGATAGGCCAAAGTAAACAGGTAACCAGAATCTACTGCCATCTACAAAAGAAGCCTTCTCTCACAAAAAGAGAAGATAATTCTCACTAGAAGATTATTTCTCATGAGAATTTTCAAGGTTGTCTTGCAAGACCAAATTCTTTTGTAAGCTTCTTGTTTAATTCTCATAGTGTATATGGGTTTGCGGGCACGACTGTGGCAGTTTGAGTGTATGTGAATATGGGCGTGAACGTGTGTGTGTAGATCAATGCATACTCGTTTCAGTAGGATTTACGTATGTGAATGTCTGTGAAGTGCGGGTGTCACCAAGGTTTGTGTGCACTTTGATAAAGTGAAGATATAGATAGATGGATTCGTACACATGCCACCGCCAACACCTACACTCACATCTACCCACATCCGCTGATTCGTTTACTTTCAAACAGAGCGTTTTGAAAGTGAGGAAAATGCCACAAAATCATAATCTAAAGATCACATATGACGCCTACGCCGATCGTCAATATTTACATAGCATTATGCACATTGCATGAACGAAGGGAAAATGAATAAATATACCGTCATGCTCCATTAAATTGGCATGTGCTCGTAGAAGGATAAATAGCGGAGAAGCAATAACCATTCGACGGTAAACGCAAATTTATTTTGTTGTAACAGTGCCCATTAGAAAAGCATAAGACAGTGTCGTTGGACACAACACTATACATTCTTAAAAGGGAAAAAAGTCCAAGCATGGACTATAGGCCAGTTGTTTCATGATGGAAACACTCAGATAGATAGTTCAAAGTTTCAGAAATAATGGTTATTATGGAAAGCAATTGTCGGTCACGTACAGTACGGTTATTGCATCTTGATTCATAATGACAAGTTTGTTATATTCAGTGGCCGCGAAAGTGAGGGGGGTGGCAAAAAATGAAGATTTTGAACCTTTTATATATGAAAAAACAGAAAATAGTATTCGATGATTTTATAATCTAATACTCAAAGAAAGGAAAAGAAAAAAACTGACAAACATACGCTATTTCAATACATGTTTACACTGATTGAAACTTACAATCAACTTGATTGAATCCAAGGACCACAGTAATCTTTGATCAGTCATTATAATTAAATACATGCACTCGTCTATCGCTCTCAGTCTTTGCCATTTGTAACTTGAAAAGTGGTTCAACTGTTGCTTCATAATTAAATCATATATTAAACTAAAATTTCTAAGAAAGGTGAGGAAAGAAATTGTTCAGATAATAATTTATTACAAAATGGGCTACAAAGGAAAAAACAACTACCAACTGAAACTGCAAATGAAGCTTCTAATGAAAATGATTTACAGCACCAATACCAACCATTGACCGACACGCAATAAGCAACAACAACAGTCGTATCTTTAATCACAAACGTTACGGCCGGTTCTTCAGCGCTCTTAAAATCTGACAGTAATTTTTCTGAAACATCAGGATGATTTTCATTAATTGAATCTTTTTCTTTGCTAGCTTTTATACAAGAATTATCAATGAATGAACCAGTATGTCATTTGACGAAACCTGACCTAGCCAATTTAAATGAAATTTATTCTGTAACCAACATTGTTGCTGAATTACGTGAACTTCAATTATTACTGATGACTTATGAAAATTTAATTAAGAAAACACAATTAGTTGATTTTTCTGAAGAAATATTTACCATCGATTTCAATTTATTTTGAATATCATTGAAAGATATGACAACAAAACTCGAATATGTTTCTGAAAAGCAAATATAAAAAAATCAAAAATCCTGGTGCTATGATTACAAAAACCAAAAGTGAATTTATTAGTCGAGATGCAGCAGACAACAGAAAATACGATGGTAATGAATTACGATATTTGGTGTGTTGTACTCCTTATCGTGATTTGAATTTGTTCTCAAAATTCTGAATTAAAAAAGAAATCTAATCAATGCTCATTTACTTAAAATTGGCACAAAGATTTTCCTTACTTGGAATACAGCATAAAAAAAGATGCCGTCTTTTGTTTTTGCTGTCGTTTATTTAGCTTTCGTCCTGGTAGTGAAAGGTCTCTCAAGAAGCGTGGATTTCAATACGTGTTTCATCGTGGTTCAAAATGACAGGTAAGAAAAGCAACGAAAAAGCGAAAAATACGGACACTATCAATTTTTTTCTACTCTAGTTTCAGATGGAAAATTAGTGAAACATTTGAAATCTACTTAGCACATTGCTGCTGAAAATCGATTATTATATTTTGCGAAAAAAAAAACAACGTTGACTTAACGTCAGATGCTCGGTGAAGAATCGATGATTAAAAACAGAGAAGATATTTTAAAATGAAATGCAAAAATAGTATTTACTTTGCTTGATGTTGCTCTATTTCTTAGTAGAGAATCATTAGGATTTCAAGGAAATGCAAATTCAGAAGGTATGGCGTAAAAAATCAGTTTCGGGAAAATTTCGTATTTTGAAAAACTCATGTCATTCAAGAGAACTTTGTTGCAGCTGTTAATTTGATGCACCGCCGTGATCCAGTGCTCGATTAATGATTCAAAGATGCTATCTTACGACCATATCATGTAAGGATAATTTGATGTTAGGTTTTTCGAATTCCATTCGAAAATTTTGATTTTAGACTAGTTACCTTCATCATGATTCACAAAATGAATTAATCTAATTATTGGATAGTGCTGTGCACAAACCAATTTTGAAAGATACTAATGATGCACCATTTATTTCAGCTACTACTGATTCTACTATGGATGCTTCGCATAAAGAAATTGATACTATTATTGTTCGATTTGTGAAAAATTCTATTGTACAAGAACGAATACTATCTGTGGCTGAATTGAATTCAAAGGTAGGTCAAGATATTTGTGTACATATTTTACAACAGCTGAAAAAAGTGGTATTCCCACAGAAAACAATCAGAGCTCAATCTTATGACAATGCGTCGAATACGTCCGAAACAAATATGGGACTTGATGCATGCTTAAGTCAGTACTTAAACAGATCAATCATGTATATTCCTTGTAGTAAGCATTCGGTAAAATTGGTTGTATAACATGGAAGACGTGTCAATATTGCCTATATTAACTGTTTCGGTATCGCACAGGTACTGCAGAACTTCTTTACCGGTAGCATCAAACAATATGCTTTACTTTATGAACAGTTCAGCAAAATAAATTATAGTATGTATTATTTGATAATCAAAGTTTTAATTTCTGACTGCTTGCTAAAGTCTCTTGGTAAAAGATCTATTCAAGACTCGTTGGTCTAATCGACATGAAGCTATTTGAGCTGTTATTGTGTCTTCTTAAGAAATTATGAATATTCTTCAAAAATGATCTGATAATGATATTGAAAGCCATACTCGCCAAACAGCTACAAATCTTTTAAATAACATATGTTCCTTTTCTTTTTAAACAATATTACTTTTTTTTTGAAAAATATAATGGCATCAAGCAATGCTTTAATCACCTACTTACAGAAGTCTGAAATGGATATTTTAACAGCAATTGATATTATTAAAGATGAAATTAATCTTGTTCATCAAATGCATGATGACCATATGAGCCTCAATGCAATTATTAAGGTACGTAGATTCCTTTTCTTATTTCAAAACTTCAAATGAAATTTGTTTTGTCATGTATCGAGAAAAGATCTTGAAAAGTTGAATGTGGATACCGATTTCAACATAGAATCCCAACGTCTTCAACGTCGCAATAAAGATTTAAAATTGATGTAAGTCAAACCTAGTAATATTTTATAATTCAGTATAAGTATTAGTAGTTAAAATTTCTTTATTTAATAGACAGGAATGTTATCGAATTATTTTCCGGAAATTGATTATGAATATGAGCGAAGAATTTGAAGATTATTCATCAGTGTTGATTCAAAGTCTTAAGCATTTTGCTAATTTATCAGAGAAATAAATTAATCAATTTTCTCAAGAAGATGCTGAAAAAATATCCACAATTGTCTATGGTATCGATGGTTACCCAGTGAAAAATTTTCGCGATTTTCAATCGGATTTTTGTGCAACAAAATCAAAATTAAAATCGATTGATAATTTTGATTATTGTTGATCATGATCTAACTATTATTTGATATTGTTGCTTATCCAGTGTAAAATTTTCTGCTTAAGATAGGATTATTTTGCAGCACAATCGAAATTATTAATCGATTTATAATCTTGTTTTTGCTACAGAATAATCCGATTTTAATCGGAAAATTTTACACTGGATAAGCAACNACGTCGTTCGACCATGTTTTATTTTATTCGTTACGACGCGTTTATTTGTTATGCATCTTGATGCGTTTTTTTATTTCTTTCGCTGAAAAGATGATCTCTTTACAAATGCACCTGAATGCATATTTTTCAACGCGTTTTTTTACTGGAAAACGGTTTTCCTTATAAAGATTTCCGAACTTGTATTTCAATTCATGCGTTTTCTTGTAAAAATGAGGCTTTTACAAGCACTACAGAATGGATTTTTACATATGGATGGCAAAGAATACATTAAAAATAAGCGTGCCAATTTTTTTTTCTTGTACTTTCATTTGCAGATAAGCTGAATTATAAAAAACATATCTTTAAAAATAAATATAAATTATTATCATTTATATTTGAAATAAATTAAATATTTTTATTTCGAAAATTGTATATTTTCGTAAGCCGAATTTTTTCAAGTATAAGTTAAAACAAGAATATTTATATTTATTAAAGTATAAAATATAATAAATTAATTTACTAAAATTTTAAATAAAAAAATCCAGTCTATTTTTGAATATAAATTATAAAAAATTATGTATCTCAATTTTTTAAATAATAGGAAAAGACAGCCCTAATTTTATAATTTCGAGTAGAAAATTATTTCTTAATTTAAGTAAAAAATTCAACAGTATCACAAATGTGTAAGTATAGTCTAGTGGTATATTCCAGACTTCGTAATTACAAGTTCTTTTGATCGAATCTCCTCTACGGTAACAAATAGATGCGTTGCAACGCGTTCAGTGTGAGCTACAGTAGATTGATAGACGGATATTTTCCCAGAGGATATACGAATTCTGTAATAGTGCCTTGCAGACAATGATTGAGTTGAAAATAACATTTTTTTTTCAAAAATTTTAGGTCTTCTTAGTCTTATGGAATGCTTTTTGTTACTTCAAAAAACGCGTTTAAAGGCATTTTAAAACTGCGTTTAAAGTCTAGCGAAAACATGCGAGCCAATAAAAAGACGCGTTTCAACGCAAAATTTTATAATTTTTTTTTCATGGGTCATACCCACACCCATACCCCGCTTTAATGAAGAACCGACGATGTATTTTATTCAAAACTAAACTAGATTCATGATTAGTAAAAACTGAAAGGATCAAAGACACTACGAATGAATACTTTGTTAATGATATTTTATCTTGATTATTCGATGATTAAGAACCATTACGCAGATCAAACACTTCGCCTAAAAAAAAGAGACAAGCTAAGATCATGAATACAACAAAGATATGAAAAAAAATTCATGCAAACTGTATGAAGAACATTTTACTCGTATGCACTGTGTTATTGATTTTAAAAAGTTTCATAAAAGTAATCCAATTCAGGACTAGGGGTGGCACTTTAACTTTACTTTAAAATCAAAGTTTAAAGTATCGCTTTAAACTTTAACTTTTAAAGTTTAAAGTACAACTTTAAAGCTAAGTTTAAAGTTTAAAGTTTAAAGTAGTACTTTAAACTTTAACTTTTAAAGTTTAAAGTACTACTTTAAACTTTAACTTTTAAAGTTAAAGTGACTGCACTTTAAACTTTAACTTTACAAAATTTGAAGTTAAAGTAAGTATTAAATGCTTCCCTATAAAAAAAGTCTTCTTAAAAATTCAGAAGAGTGAAAAAAACATTTATGAAAGTACCCATAACTCTTCATACACTGTGAAACGGGGGATATGCATAGGTAATCATCTAATAGATATTCGAGGTGCCCTTGGGCCATCAACTGCTACATATTGGTGGTACCCTTGGGTCATCAACAACTATGTAATAAGGGTAATGTTGGATAATCAACTACCATGTAAAAAGGGGATTCAATTGTCATTCACTAGGATATAGGGGTACTAATCATAAGCCATCAACTGCTATATAAGGGAGTGGGTCTCAATAGTTCATGAACTACTCTTTAACGGGGTACCTATCGTTCATCAGCTACTATATAATGGGAATATTGGTAAGCTTTCCAGTGCTATAGAAAGTGGGTGTTCATAACTCTGGGTGGCACTTTAACTTCATTTTAAACTTTCACTTTAAAGTTAAAATAGTCGTACTTTAAAACTTTACTTTGAATAAGTTAAATTCAAAGTTAAAGTACAGCTACTTTTCAACATTCGTATTCTATTATGGAATAAAATTTCATACTATCCTCAAAATGCACACTAATATGATAAATGTTGCTGAAGGTCAAGAATTTTGAATGTGCTAAAAATTGTAAGGAACTCTCAATTATCTCCTTTGGACATCACAACATTTTATAAAGTTTAACATAGAATTTTTTTGGTTAAGATATCTCAAATTATAATTGACCACTCAAGTGTTTTTACACTAAGTTAGCTTTATAAATAATGATAATATTGTTGAAATATTCACATGTATTTAGGAATAAAATTATCGATGTAGATAAACTGATTATAGATACAGAAATTTCTATCTAATTCAATTTTGTTCATAATTAGAGAAAAATTCGTCACTTCTCAAAAGTAGTGTTTTTTTATCTAACAGTAACAACGATCAATCATTTACGATATTGTAACCAGTGTTTATCCGCTATTAACATAGCTTTCTACGATCTAAACTGCTTTTGTTGATGTACGTTGAACTTTTGTATGAACTAAAATATATCATCATAATCAACAAGTAATTAAGAGTCAAGTAAAAGCACAAGAATTAAAGTGAGTGGAACGTACTAATTCAATCAATACATTATTTGGTTTATAGTACATTTTTTAAGATACTCACAGTTCGTCTGTTGAACACAATATATATAAAAAGCGCATTAATAACTTTTCGTCATTATGTTATCCGAAAGTCGTCCTCAATAAATTCAGTCATCATTCATATAGTCTCTTGTTGTAAAATGTTCGACAAATATAGAAATTAAATCGAAATATCTGAGTTTCAGATCTATAATATATACAATATAAGTTAACATTTACTGAGCTCTCGTCAATGTACTCATTCAATGGGATCAATGTCAGTTGTTTTTCTTTATAAAAAAAAAGGAAAGCAATCACCACTGAGGTATTTTTCATACACATTTTTATCAAACAATGAGAAAACAGGATGAGTTAAAAGCGGTTCAACCAATAAAAGTGTTAATCTCTACTATACTTTCATTCAATAAGTTTATTTCGAATAACGATATGATATGCTCATAGATCATATTCATGGGTGTAGCTTAAGGAATATTGCAGTGCAGCATCGTTAATAACTTCAAGCAAACTTAGTAGTCTTTCGAGATTGTTTAGAATGCTATACTGTTGTTAATTCTTTCACTGAAAATATTATATATAAATTATTAGTAGAAAAAAGTTTTTTTTTATTAATAGTTCCTGCTTTAATCTTTTATCGTTCACATTATAGAGAGATACATACAAAATATTAATCAATGTACTGTCCGCTTTATCCTCGAACATAATAAGAGTATGTTGAAAAAATTGAAATATATTTTTTTCGTCACTTTTTAATATCTTGCAGTTCTTTATTTCTAATTTTTCATGAAATACTGAAGTATTATTTGTTAATCCTCTTCTTATTAATATAATCGATGAGCATTGATTGTTGATTAATATTCAATTCATCTCTCAGATCAAAATATGGCAAAGATATGCAGGTTCTGTCCCTCAGCGAAATTATTGGGATCTTATCGTGTCGAGCCAAAGCAGACATGAATGTCAAATAATATTTTATCTAGAATAATTGACAGAGGCTCACTGGAGCGCTAAGTTTCATCTAGATTACTCTTATTGTGTTGTAAGTTGTAGTGTGCTTTGAACTATACTCAGTCCCACGGAATATTACTTAAAAGGTTTGTCAGCTAAATTGATTCAATACTCAGAATGATTCAAAATACTAGAAATTTTCTATGATAAACAACACTCAATGGTCCATATTCTTTTGAACTAATGAATGTAGAACTTAGAGCAACTCAGTGTGAGTAATATTGTAATAAATATTCAAAAATTATATCGTTTTGATGCTAGTTAAATACAGTTTGAAGAAAAAAAACTTCAATTATAAATGAAATGACTGCAGAAAAATATCAAATCAGGTCCTAATGAAAAATTCTCATTAGAAGTTTCGAATTTTCAATGTTTACTATTTGTTCTTTTTGCTTTGAGTTGATTCAGATCATCCATATCAACTGCGAAAAAGGAAAGTAGTTCAAAGATTTCAGATTTATCACTAATCGACAGTGGTGAAAATAATATTACATGTATGTTTTTGAGAGAAAAGAAGACAAAACTATCGCTATTCAATCTTACAAAGAAGATTGCTGGTAAAGTAGAAGATCATAACACACGTACAATATTCTTTGGATCTAACTTATATTTCTTTTATGGTGCCTTTTAAAACTAATTCATATTTCAAATATCCATAGCTTGGTAATTATATTTCTAACTGTTGGCTTATTACGAATTCATATCATTGTCCAACGATTTCATTTATTACTGTATTCTTTATCACAAAAAGTTCTTTTCGTCTTATTAACTTTACGAAAAGAACACGTATACATGAATGAGCTATTTTCGATTCTAATATTCTTTATACAATAATAATAAGAAAATTAAAAAAATAATTCAACACGACAGTTTTGACTTTAGCAAATACGTATGTACATCAGATAAATATTTCTCTTATAACTTTTTACAAAAATACAATAATAAAAAAATTAATAATTCGAAAAAGGATAAAATTCAACTATAAAAAAAATTTCTATGTTGATTTCCTAATTACGTAGTATCATAGAATATCTTAATTTTTCTGGTGCTAAAGAAGCTCGATACTTATTCTGAACAAAACCTGAAATACTAAAAGCACTTTCACATGATATAGAAGTCGCAGAAATTATATGATAACGACGTACTATAGATGACAAGATAGGTAAACGAGTTTTATTGTTGTTCCAATATTCAGAAAAAGTTTGATTTTCACTAACTGTTGATAAATAATGGCATAGCTCTTCTTTTACAGTCCAGTTATGCGAATTACTCGACGTTTTATTACAGGATAAACCGCATAATTTGTATAAATTGTATAGTGCATTTGATGAATCCTCTTTTTCTTCCTTGATGTTTGATGTTGAATTTTTTGCTTGAGAAGACGGTGATGATGATGATGATGATGTTGTTTGTAAATTTATTTTTGAATGAACAATTGAATTTTCATCGAGTAAAATAGCTTCAGCTTTTTTTCGATCATTAATACTGACATATCGATAAGTTGTTGGATCAAGAAATGCTGATACCTAAAAGAAAAAAAGCAATAAGAATTTACTGATTTTTTAAAACTCAGTTGAAATATTATAAGTATAGATAAATTATATCTAGTGGTTCTCTATAGTTTATTGTTGTAATATTTATGATTTTTACTCATTCTTACCGAATATGTTCAATAAATTTCATAATATAGGAAAAGCACATCAGTAAAGTTTACACTCCGTATGTGATGGAAAAAGTAGTCGAAAACAACGAAAAACAACGATCTAGGCTTCCTCTGTACCTTCACAAGATTGCTGACAGAGAATATATCTGTTAGTCGATAAATATAAACCTTAGGAATCCAGAAATTCTGTACAAATAATGATAGAATACTATGAGTGCTCATATGTTCTGAATATTTTCCAGGAAATATCCAATTTTATGCTTTTGTTTAAATAGAAAAAAATTATACGTACTAATGTAACAATATTTTGTTCATCTGTTACATGTTTTTCATAATAGTAGTCAAACGTTGATAACAAGTGCTTCTTGAGTATGTTTTCTAATGTCAATGGAGCGTTTTCTTTTGCTTTCAAAAAACCTTTAATTGCATGTATTGCACCATAGCTGGTAGACAAACTTGATCGATGACGATTTGATAAAGCTGTAGTTGCTTGATCGAAAGGTAATAAAACATATTCAAGTGATTTTAAAATTGTCCAATCAATCGACGAAAATGATAGTTTTCTTAATGTACGACATTGCCGTGTTTTCAAACCTATTATTGATGTTGGATCATGTGTTAATGAATTAATAATAGAACTATGACATAAAAAGCGTGATAACATCGCCAACGTACTGTTCCATCTGATTTTCATATCTAACGTGAATTTTTTTAATCGAATTTTTTTTTGTTCTTCTGTTGATTGCTTGTTAACATCTTCTTCTTTTAATTTGATTTGTTTGTCAACGTATCTGTTTAATATACTAGATTTAAGTATTGTAGATACTAATTTACGAATACGTTTAAGGAGAATATGAATTTTCGATAGTAATATTGTAATATTTGCACTTGCTTCTTTAATTACGTGTTCTTCTTCGGTAAATGGTGATGATAATGATGTTGCATCATCTTCATCACTATTATTTTCAAAAGATGAGAGCTCTGATTCATCACTTGATGATGAAGCTGTTGTTGAATCTATTGAAGAATTTTCATCTTCGGTAGAATTACTACTGTCACTATAATAAGATATTGTATCTGATGTATCATTATCATTCATAATTAAATCACGATCATCATCACTAGAGTTATCATCGAAACGTGATGTAATTTTGGTTGCATTTATTGTATTGTTGATTTTTAATGATGTTGAACTAGTAGAACGAAAAGAAAAAAGCATTTGATAAAATATAGAATGTAGAGTAACAACATTATCTTTTTTGAGATTTTTATGAATCTCCCGGTCATATTCTCGTCTGAAAAGCACTTCATATTTCCTTTTATGATTTTTTTGTATAAATAAAATTTATGGAGGTGATTAACAAGTACTTCAATAGAAGTTCATAGATAAGAGTATTATTCTATTTAATACTTTTTATGTAGATATCGGTGTACTTAGCTGTTTAGAACTGCACAGATGAATCATTTTTACATCTATTCTAAGCCGGATATTTAAGAAAAGTATTTCTGTTGATGAAAAGATATATTTGAAGAAAACCTATATGAGTCGAGATAGGTTCACATTCAAAATATTAGATTTTATAGTAAGTAGTTTTGCCGACTCTTCAGTCTTCTAGTGCAGTTCAATTCTTTGTTATTTTTTTTCATAACTGCGACTTTCGATCGTAAAAGTGAGTCGATCGAAATCATCGAGTTCTTTTTTAACAAATTTAATATGATAAAGTCACATTGTTAAATGTATTTAACGAGATAGCTTTTTCTTTTTTAGCAAACATAGCAAGTACTAGCATTAGCCGATAAATCACTATTATGAGTACAACAAGCTTCTATGAAAATGAATTCATTCCTTTCTCATGGTTATTAACGAAGAACTCATTCGTAGAACAGTAAACCTTCATCGGCTTCACTTTCCTTTCCGAATACACATTTATGTGTAATATTTTATTGAAGAGCCCAACTAACTATTGTTCTGTTTCTTCGACAACAAAAATATTCAAATAATCTGGAAAATCCTTATTCAAAATGCATAAATTACTCTTAACAATTAGCTTGCGTTACGAATTTCATACAAATGAGGTCATGAAAAACAACAGTTATGAAAAGCTCCATAATGAAATCTATCATTCTGACATAATGGATCAACAAAAAATCCAGAATTTGCGGCAGCAATTCATTTTTAGTATAAAAGCTTTAAAAAACTACACTGCAAAAATAATGTAATTAGAATATTTCAAATGTATGCATCTCATGATGCTATTCTTTTGAAAAGCGACTTATAGTATATCTAAATGCATATCTATGATCCAATTCTCTGGAAGCTTATTTCTTACAATTATTATTAGACAGTTATTTGTACAATGTCATTCCATGATCTAGTTAGCTACTATTCAAGATCTTGAAAATTGATACATACTAGTATTCATCCATACGAGTGAAAACCAAAGGATAATCAACAAAATATTGATGCTTTATGCATTTATTTTATCAAACCTTACTAAATCTAAACTACTTCTTATGGAAAAGATTAAAGCAAAGACCCTATCTGAAGATATAATACTAATATGCGCACCTAAAATACTTAACACACATTTTCTTGTTCACAGGACACGGGTCTTCTACAAAGATTGTATATAGGAGATAACCGACTATATCTTTAAAGAGCACCGCTAAGACATACTATTCAAATAAGGATTTCTTCGGTACTTCTCTTTGCTAGGTAACAATGTCGATCAATGAAATTATTTTCGTCTCACAAAGTGAGATGGCGGCATCACAAACTGTTTATTTTGAGATCATTCTTAATATCTACGAACTTTGTCAATTTCATGGCTAGAGTAAATAAAATTATAACACTGACTTACATTTTTTTTGGAATTTTGAATAACCATAGACCATTTTGAGTAATCAAATTGAAATTATGCAAAATACAGGATACCTTAATTCCAAATTTCGACAATCTTTGTGTTGCCGATCGTATATCACTTCCATTATCTGTAGTTATTGCGCACACTTTGGATTTAATATTAAGTTTATTAATTTCTTTTTCAATAAAACGTTCTAAACGATCAGCAGAGTGTTTACCAATAAAACGTCGAAATGCAATAACCATTGTATGGTACTGGTATTCATCATCATAGTATTGAGCAGTTAAACCAATAAAATGAGACTTATTGTTGCTTTTCCAAACATCAGCACTTAATGAAACATCAGTAATATGAGAAAATTTCTCTCGAATATCAGCTCGGCGTTGTTTATACATTGGCTTGAGACGTTTTATGACTGTCTTTCTATGCGGTCCACGATAACCTGGAACCGCTATAGAAAGGAAATGTTGCATGCCTGGTTTTCGGAACAAATTGAATGCATGTGAATCTCGGATAATTGCTTCAATTGCTGCAGCATTCAACAACTGTTTCTGATTGAATGTTATTGACTTTTCTTTTGGTAAAGGCTTTTTTCTTTGAGATGGATATAGAAAGCCATCAAGATCGTGTATACGACCCAAATGACTACGTAAATTTGAGTCTGATTCCATAGATGATTTGGCAAATAACTAAATAAAAAGAAAGAAAAAAGATACTATAATAAGATAGTGTATGCATTCTTCACACATGCAACTTATTTTAACGAGGAGAAAAAGATTGATGTTCTTTGCTCATTCTATGGGTTTCTCCAATATTTTTCTATATATCGACTGCTGGTGCGAATTACAGTATGGAAAATTTTATTTAGTTGTTCATCGAACAGCTTTGATTACTCTTCAGTTAGTGAGCAGCAAATCTAGATATATATATGTCAAAAAATCAGCTATTTGTTATAATTGTCTTTTTGTAAAAAGAATAAGACAGTATTTTTATTTGAAAGAACTGCACTTTGTAATCATTGAATGTATTACCTAGATTCATCTATAACAATATACATTTGATCCTTTTGAAGTTTATTTTTTGAAACAAAATTACAGAATGAAATTAAGTTTTTATAGCAATTTTGATCTATAAAAGATAATTATACTCCAATAATGTATCATACTTGTAACACTTGAAATTGATGTTTTAATTAACGTGAACTAGACTATGAAAGGAGAATCTAACCGTAGAAAAAGCGCTTAAAATGTTTGAAATATTAAGTTATAAAAACTCTTGTATATATTGTGCATGCAATGTGAATTTAATATCTACCGCAAAATTATCAAAGCAAGTAAATGTCTCATCTAATAATCAGTGCTTATAGCATCAAAGTATCGTTATATTAAATAGTAGCATCTTATTCTATAGCAAAAACCTATCTGAACTCATTATAGAGTTGTGAGCTGTCATAAAATCCAAGTAGTTTAGAAAGTCCATATTTTTGTCTGCACATTGAACAATAAGATTTCAAAAATAGAATTGAAACCTAATGTGACAGTCAATGAAAGCATTTAATAAATGAAATGAGAAGTTAAGCACTATTCTGTAACTATGATATATATGAAATACAGTTACTGGTAACCTAAGAGACTGGATTCCGCTCAGTATGTCTAAGACAAAGTATTTTTTCATCATGAAAGAAAAAGATGCAAAGAGCAATATGGTATTTATAGCTTCGTATCATTTGGTAGAACTGACAACAAGCATTTTCTTTTGTAAAGACGATAGTCTAAGTTGATTCTCTGTTTCAAACACATATCCACAAAGACTGTCTTTCAAACACACCTTCTCTACTATATGCTAGCTATCAGATGACAGGTAATATAGTTTGAACTAAAGGACAAAATGGCAATGATGCAAAACGATTATAATCAGATTTTTCAGTCTTGAAGAGAGGCTTTAGTTGCTTTAAAATCTTGAAATCTTTTTTTAATCAATTTACCAACTTCAATTGATTGTTGTCGTTCTCTGATAATGATTTTTGATTAATTAAAGTTTGTCAGTCGACTATGAGTTCAGGAAATAGTTGAATTCAGGAAAAATCTGTGCTTAGAGTTAAAAAATATTAGTTACACAAATAAACATAAATGCTACTTCAATAAATTTTTAACAAAAGACTAGTTGATATCAATTTAGCTTTTGGAACTTTTCTGTATGACTGTGTAGGAACTACCCTTTTAATTAATGGATGATAGAATATAATAAGAATAGTTCTTTTCCATGTCTTTTGGCACTATTGTTGAAAACCGACAAGTATATGAGGATTTCTACGAGAATAAATATTAAAATGTCATGACAGAAGTATCAAAAGCATGACGAATGCGTTGCTAAGACGGTGCAATTCTCACACCATAAAATTTAAACGTCAAATGTCGAAGTATGTACCTTGCTTAAGAAGAAAGGATGTGGAATACTGAAATGAGTTAAAACTGTATATGATACTGAAGCATAGAAGTCAAATAAACTCGTATAAAAACTATTCATCTTGAAAAACTTTCCTTATTGATTTAGTTCAATGTGACATTGTGTACAAGTATATTTATCCAGAAAAGATTAAAACAATAAAATCATAAAAAACTATATGTTGACAAAAAATCATTTGCAAAACTAAAAAACGAAGAGATAGAGGCTATGAAAATTATTCGAGTGCTTGGTAACAAACAATAAACACAGTAAAGACTAGAGAACAAACTCGATAAAGAAATATATATATAATGAAGCAAAAAGGTATACTTACTTTCGAAGAATCTTTACATAGTTTACATTTAAGTTCACCCGTGGATATGATGATAAAATATTTCAAGACATCTTGTTTTGATTTAATGGTTGATTTGTTTTGTTTCTTCTTTGGTTGAACTCGGTCAATGTCAATAGTTTGACTACTATCAAACGAATCATCATGATTATTTGCACTTTCTTCAGTCTTAATATTGTTTGGAGTTGTTACTGGTAAATTTGAATCAGGCCGAGTTGTTCGTTGTTCACCATAATCCATTTGAATTTCATCATCTGAACTGTTCAAATTCTGTAAAATTGTTGCAGATCGATTTTTCTTCAGTGTTGAATGTAAAACAGTTCTTTTTTTTTCTGTTGCCAATGATTGACGGTTTTTCTTTAAACCACTTTTTCGATGAATAACTGGAGATTTTACTTTAATTGTAGTATTTTTCAAGGTTGTTGATTTAGACTTCTTTGTTTTAATTGATGATAAGGTAATTGATGAATTCGAATTATATGCTTTGCCACTCGATCGAATAGTAGAATGAGAAGATGAACGTCGTGTTGATTCCGATGGTAATTCATCATTCATTTTCAATAATAGAGATCGTTCAAATTTTTTTATCAATCAACTTTCAAATGGTTATAAAACTCGTTAATCGATTATTCTTTTTTTTCGTGAAAAGTTGTTAATGATATTTACAAAAAAAAGTAACGTTTTTCCTTTTCTATATGTAGAATATGATTCGTTAAATATAATATTCTTTTTTATTTTTTATTAACGATTGTCATTTTCGGTGAAACAAAAATGTTGAAAAAATGTTCTCAAAAGGATTATTGTAGATGAATATTTCAAATATAAAATTTAGTTTTGCTTTTGAAACGAAGCTAATATTATTCTAATATATTGGAATTGGATCATAATAATTACTAAGCATAAGGAGATGTGCTTCTGAAACTAGAAGAGGAATACTACAAACTGTAGTCTATAATCAGAATATGTTGGTTAATGTGCAATTAACAATAACTCTTCATCTTTTTTATAATTTTATAAAATAAACATGAAGAAATCATTTATCTTAGAACTATAACTAAAAAAGACTTTTATTTTGCAAGCAATTATCATGTCGAGAATATTCAGAACCACAGAAACTTTTTTGTGAGAGATTTTTTCACAAAATATACTTTATTTATACTCCAAAAGGGCGAGTTGAGATATAATATGAATCATTGCTCTTTGTGTAGTGTTTTCCAGACTTGAGTAACAAAAATGAAACTTAAATCGAAATTAATATCATATTCTAAATCTGCAGAAAACTAGAGTAGAGCTACCAGCGTTTCAAAATGGGCTAAAATCATTTTCTCATCAAGAAATTTATCTATGCGTCTCTTTAAGAATTAGTGTCAAAAATTTAATGCATCAAAAACTATTTTGATTGTCTATGTATGCCACATTGTGTGTTCTGCTGTTATGTTACAACTTGGGAGCTTGTTACGATTGATGAAGCACCTTATTGGAAAGTTCGTTTTCTGAAGCCAAATCCTGACGCGAAATACAAATGAATCTTTCTATGCAAAAAAAAACCATAACTTTTTGATAAACCTTTAGATTGGTTTCAACATTTATACTCATTCAGAATATGATTCAAGTTTTGGTTTAAATTTCTTTTTGTCATTAAGCCCGCTAGATATTACGAAAACAATAAAAATTAATTCTATCTCAAATAGTTCCCTTACAATGTGAGTAGGACTTATTTTATGATAAAAATCTCTTCCACAAATGACTTCTTTAGTTCTGAACATATTCAATAAGGCTATTCTGTGAAAAAAGAAGGATTTTTTTCTTTAGCTGTATTTTAAAGAAAAATCTTTCATCCACCCTTATGTTATGGAGTATTAGTAAAGAGCCAGTTCTCAATGAGGTCATATAATTTTAAGAAAATAGATTCTGTTTGCGATATTCTTTGATCTTCTATTCTTTCTATTAATACAAAAGCTTTCTCAGCTTTTATTCCTCGTGCATCGTCTGTCTAATAGCATTTCGTAAAGAACTTATTGGTAAATTTTTCGAGCAATGAATCAGTCTAAGTTGGTGACAATATAACGTGGTGCTGCAAAAAATAGAAAGATACTAACGCATCATAAATTATTTATTAATGTGAAGTTTTTCGCTTTCTATCATAATGTATACCATATTCAGTAGAGAGTCAGTTGACTCAGTAGCATCCAATCGCCGAAGTATATCTTTTGTTTGGTGCTCATATCCACAGTTCTTGTTCTAACATCATAATGTTTTAATATACACTTATCGATCCATAAGACAACTTGTGCATTTAGTATAGTGCTCACACATCATTAGATTCACGATTCATGCATCCCACAGCATCATATTAAAGTCAGGTTATCATTATGGGCTATTGTTAATAGAGTTGTTGAGCTTATTAGCAGATTTTTCGGAATAATCTGGCAAACAGATTGATTCGAAGATCAAATACATAATCAAATATATTAAGCTCTTCTCTTCTATCAAAAGGCAACATAACGGAAACGCGACTTCTATCTTTCTCTCAAGTTCAAAATATATTACGGCGTGTGCAATCATAACAATAACTCATCAGCACATCGTCACCGTTTCATTTATTACTGTTAATAGAATATTCATTACTCCAAGTTTCATCTCAATGTTAGTAAAACATCTAAGAAGAGCTATTGATACTATAATATGTTTTTTAAAAATAGTTTGAAAATAATGCACTGATATCTTGGTGTGAAATAAAGCAGTATTTTCGTTTATATTTTTTCCGAGGGGGCGATGTCAAAGAAAAATAAGACTTGCATCATAACTTTGAACGAAGACTACATAGATGAAGGCGATCATACTCTTTGTTTAAGTTTATCAACTCTAAGTTCACATGATATCTCGGAAACTCCAATACAGCTAAGTTGAGAAAGATAATAAGTGTAGTGCTTTCAGAAGTCGATAGCACATCCTGCCTGCTCTAAACTGATTTCCTTTCTTAAAGCTTTCTGACTTTTTAGTCTTTTCTTAGCAAAGCTTTTTCGCAACAAAACTCTATACTTTAACTTTAAAAAGTTTAAAGTTAAATTTTTAAGTAGTACTTTAACCTTACACCACTTTAACGTTTAAACTTCAAAGTTCAAGTGCCACCCAACCCAAGAGTACTCTCAATATAAAGTATATGATGACCGAAGGATATCTCCAATATATAATAGTTGATGACCCAAGGGTACCCCCAATATCTAGTAGATGATTACCTATGGATACTCCCGTTTCACAGCGTATGAAGAGGTATGGGTACTTCCATAAACGTTTATTCCCTCTTATGAATTTAAAAAAAAAACTTTTATAGTGAAACATTAACTTTAACTTTAGATTTCGTAAAGTTAAATTTTAAAGTATGGTCACTTTAACTTTAACTTTTAAAGTTTAAAGTGATACTTTAAACTTTAAAAGTTAAAGTTAAAGTGCTACTTTAAACTTTAACTTTTAAAGTTTAAAGTACTACTCTAAACTTTAACTTTAACTTTTAAAGTTTAAAGTACCACTTTAAACTTTAACCACTTTACCCTGTAAAGTTTAAAGTTAAAGTGCCACCCCTAGCCTGGAACAGCTAATTAACCCTTTGAGTCCCAAATTATTTCTGCTGTATTCAATTCAAGTAGACTGTTAGATTAGCTTAGTTTAGATACAAACACATGAACGACTATATATCGCCTTTACAGATAGTTGGAGAGCATTTTAGAGCATTCTTTATTACTTCATCCCATGATATTAGGTACTAATTTTTAGAGATTATTTTGGAACAAATTATTATAAAACATGTGTAGCTTTTTTTCCTAGAATGAAAGGATAGGGTCTAGAAACCGCAGTTCACCTGTGTCTGTCTGTAACAAGACCTTACCACCAACGACCATTTTTGTGGCACAAATGCCCATTTTCATGGCACAAATGACCATTTCTATGGCACAAGTGACCATTTCTATGGCACAAGTGACCAGAACCATGGTACAAGTGGTCATATGCATGATCATTTGGGCCATCATTTTGGTCACTTGTACGATTTTTGTGTCATTCAGACCACATGGTAAAATTCGTCATAAATTTCGTCCAAATTGCGTAAATATGGCACAAAGAGTTGTAAGTATGACAAAGGTGACCAAAACTATGATCGAAATGACCACAAATATGAATCAATTTGCCACTGATGTCACACAGATATGGTTATAATACGCGAAAACGTGCTCAAAATTGTCACATCAATGGTCCAGGTGGTCACATTCACGCTCCACATGACCGCATATAAGCTGCAAAAGACCTAAGATACGATCCTGTCAACCATACTTGTCGTCATATGAACCATACCTGTGACCATTTGTCCTATATTTGTGAACAGTTGGATCATAGTTACCATCTGGTTACTGTGTTACAGAGAGACAGACGGAGAAAAGTGGATTTCCATTTATAGACCGTTACGTCAGTCTAGGGTCAAGCGAATCGACGCTCGATGAGCGTTACTTGTTGCTAATATGGGACTCAAAGTGTTAATTATACATTTGACTCTAAATACGTACCCTTATTCACCTACTTCTACATCTAACCCACTACTACTGTCTTTAACTCCTTGATTATATATCGAACCACTTATTACTATTCTTCACCTCTTTTGTCTGTATCGGAGGCCTTGTCACTATTCCTACCACTTTCATCCTTTGTTTTACTCATTTTATCTATTCATAACTCGTTAGTTCTCTACTTAAACCCTTTATTCTGTGTAATCGCATATTTATACATTTATTTCTTTGCTGTTTTCATAATTCTTTAAATGCATAAAGATATACGAACCGCTGTAGATTTGCATAGACTCTTCCATCTATGGATGATGCTGTGAATCTATAGCTGAACTGGTATATCAATGCATTTTTTCTTCAAGTATATCCCCTCTGGCATATGTATCTTCATCGATTTGAGTTCGGGTATATTCATCTATGAGATCATAGTATTAGAGTGATGAGGAAGCCTGTATATTTCTTTCTGTCTGCAAGGTATATTTGTCTTTCTCTGTGCTATGTGCAACATGAAGATATGTTTTATTGTCCTAACTCAGTTGAGTGCGCTGACGATCAAGTCAAATAAAAAGGAACGTACTTTGACCGCTTTAATTGTCTAGTGGAATGTGTATTGTATCATAGAAGACAGTTTTAGTTACTTTTTCCTATGAATGCACCGAAGCAATCAGTGTCGGAAATCTTATAGTGAACAGAAAATGTAAGTGATTAATTGGATCCAAATATAGAGAGCTATTCAAAAATGAAGAACTTCGTTTTCTGTGATGAAAAAACTGTGAGATCTCAGATATGGGGCGAAAAATGTTAATAGCGATATAGGCTGTATCCATGGGAAGTTGCCAGATCGATCCGCGGACCTCGTTCAAATCGATGGAAATTTTCACGATTCGTAGAACTTTTCGCGCTGATCATTTTGGTAATAAGCTTTTTAGGATTAGACCTTATTTTTGCAAAGACACAGGTCAAATACTTTTAGGACTTTTTTCCATTTTTGCACAAACTCAA